TGAGAAACACGAGGCAGGTCCTGATGCTTTTAGCCTAGGAGGCAGGCTTGCCTTTAACTTGGTCCTAATGTGAATATTGTAAGAGGGTTCTACTGGCCAATTTCTAATGGCTGGTCTCTTTTTTCTTTTTAAAATTTTATTGGATTATAATTGACTTACAACTTTGTGTTAGTTTCAGCTCAATGATTCAGTTATACATATACATATATTCATTCTTTTTCAGATCCTTTTCCCATATAGGTTATTACAGAAAATTGAGTAGAGTTCCCTGTGCTGTACAGTAGGTCCTTGTTGGTTATCTGTTTTATATATAGTAGTGTGTGTGTGTTAATTATAAACTCTAATTTATCCCTCTCATCTACATTTACTCTTTGGTAACCATATGTTTGTTTTTGAAATCTGTGAGTTTTTCTCTTTTGTAAATAAGCTCATTTGTATCATTGTTTTAAAGGTAAATTCCACATGAGTGATGTCATATGATAGTTGTCTTTTCTGTCTGACTTACTTCACTTGGTATGGTAATCTCTAGGTCCCTCCATGTTGTTGCAAATGACATTATTTCATCTTTTTTATGGCTGAGCTATATTCCATTGTGTGTGTGTGTGTGTGCGCGCGTATCACACACAAATGCCACATTTTCTTTATCCATTCCTCTCTTGATGGACATTTAGGTTGCTTCCATGTCTTGGCTATTGTAAAGAGTGCAGCAGTGAACACTGGGGTGTGTGTATCTTTTTGAAGTAAAGATTTTCTCCGGGTATATGGCCAGGAGTGAGATTACTAGATCATATGATAGTTCTGTTTTTAATTTTTTAGGGAACCTGCATACTGTTGTCTATAGTGGTTGTAGGCCCTTGATTTCCTATTGAGAGTAAACTTCAGCATGGTCACAATGCTTCAGCAGTAGCATGCGTTTCGTCACTGTTTAGCACACATGGACTACTGCCCAGGTAGCATTGCACTGGTATGTGACAGGTTAGTCTTGGGGGTGAGCAATGCTTGGGTGGGGGGTGGGGGTGGCAGGTGGGGGAGACTGCAAAGGAGTGGTAGCTGAAACTGTTTGAGATGTGCCTCAGATATTGTTTTTTTTTTTTTAATCCCAAGCAGAGAGAAAAATTAACTTATTCCCCTCTAACGTTGTTGGAAGATTTAGCTTATTTATTAAAAAGAATTAGCCTGGTTGGGGCAAGTAACTCATTCTGGCATTCTCATTTCTTTGCTTTACCAAAGTTTTCACCAGTGGAACTTAAGCCTTCGGTACCTTAGATCTGTGGCGTAAGTGTAAAGTACACATTGGGTTTAGAAAACTTTGTATGAAAGGAAGAATGTAATGTATCTCAAGAATAATTTTTGTATGATCACACGTTAAGGTGCTAACATTTGGATGTCTTAGGTTAAGGAACATGTATTTTTAAAGTTAATTTTACCTGTTTCTTTTTACTTTTTAAAATATGGCCCCTAGAATATTTAAGATCACCTATGTGGTCCATCCTAGAGGAGATCAGTCCTGGGTGTTCACTGGAAGGACTGATGCTGAAGCTGAAGCTCCAGTACTTTGGCCACCTTATGCAAAGATTTGACTCATTGGAAAAGACCCTAATGCTGGGAAGGATTAGGGGAGGAGAAGGGGATGACAGAGGATGATATGGCTGGATGTCATCACCGACTCGATGGACATGTGTTTGAGTAGATTCCGGGAGTTGGTGATGGACAGGGAGGCCTGGCGTGCTGTGATTCATGGGGTTGCAAAGAGTTGGACACGACTGAGCGACTGAACTGAACTGATGTGGCTTGCATTACATTTCATTGGATAATGCTGCCTTAGATAGTTATTTGTTCAATGTAAAGACTGCTGGGTGGGGCCAGCCTCCGCTCTCCTGAATATATGCTTTGAAGCTTGATCCATTGACATTATCTTTGTAGTAGCAAGGGGGTCTGCTGTGTCTGACCCCCCAAAAGAGGGGAAGAGAACAGCAGCACAACTCTCTGGAATTCTGTAATTTGGGTTTGTTCGGCTTGAGTTGCCCCTCGATATGTGGAATCTTCCTAGACCAGAGATTGAACTCGTGTCCACTGCATTGGCAGGCGGACCCTTAACCACTGGCCCACTAGTGAAGTCCCGCCCAGTTCTTTTTATGAAAGGACTAGTAATTAGGTGCTTCTTCATGCCTTCTCTAAGAAATCAAACACTCTATATATGTGTTTGTATATATTCTGTCTCTCAATATATGTTCTCACTGTACCAGAGAACCATGTGAATATACTCTGGTCTATACATACCTTAGTCTTTGGCTACTGCTTGTAGTTATCCTTTACAGCTTCTTGAGATTGTTGTTATGTTAGTCGGTCAGTTGTGTCCAACTCTTTACAACCCTATGGACTGTAGCCCACCAGGCTCCTCTGTCCTTGGAATTCTCCAGGCAAGAATACTGGAGTGGCTAGCCGTTCCCTTCTCCAGGGAATCTTCCCAACTCTGGGTCAAACCCAGATCTCCTGCATTGCAGGCTGATTCTTTACCCTTTGAGCCACCAGGGAAGCCCAGTTCTTAAGATTACTTTGTCTCTATTGCTATTTCAGTGACCCAGGCTATTCAGAAAGAGGATTTAAGGTGGTTAACTGGCTTGCCTTCTCCTTCTTGAACATTTCTCTGGAGTGTTCATGAACCTGGGGACAACTCGAATGTCTTGTCTTTAGCTTCTTTTCTTTCTCATCCCAGTCTAAGAAATTTTAAAAACAAAATTACTCTTTTTTGAGTGGGAGAACCCCCGCCAGATCCTTGCTTATAGGTTTAAACCTGCAGTCTTTTTTTTTTTTATAGTAAATCATACATTTTATTTATTTATTTATTTTTTCACAACCATAGTGTATCTTTTTTTTTTTTTTTTTTTACATGTATTCCCCATCCCGGTCCCCCCTCTCACCTCCCTCTCCACCCAATCCCTCTGGGTCTTCCCAGTGCACCAGGCCCGAGCACTTGTCTCATGCACCCAACCTGGGCTGGTGAACTGTTTCACCCTAGATAATATACGTGTTTCGATGCTGTTCTCTTGAAACATCCCACCCTCGCCTTCTCCCAGAGTCCACAAGTCTGTTCTATACATAGGAGTCTCTTTTTCTGTTTTGCACATAGGGTTATCGTTACCATCTTTCTAAATTCCATATATATGTGTTAGTATACTGTAATGGTCTTTATCTTTCTGGCTTACTTCGCTCTGTATAATGGGCTCCAGTTTCATCCATCTCATTAGAACTGATTCAAATGAATTCTTTTTAATGGCTGAGTAATATTCCATGGTGTATATGTACCACAGCTTCCTCATCCATTCGTCTGCTGATGGGCATCTAGGTTGCTTCCATGTCCTGGCTATTATAAACAGTGCTGCGATGAACATTGGGGTACACGTGTCTCTTTCAGATCTGGTTTCCTCGGTGTGTATGCCCAGAAGTGGGATTGCTGGGTCATATGGCAGTTCTATTTCCAGCTTTTTAAGAAATCTCCACACTGTTTTCCATAGTGGCTGTACTAATTTGCATTCCCACCAACAGTGTAAGAGGGTTCCCTTTTCTCCACACCCTCTCCAGCATTTATTGCTTGTAGACTTTTGGATAGCAGCCATCCTGACTGGTGTGTAATGGTACCTCATTGTGGTTTTGATTTGCATTTCTCTGATAATGAGTGATGTTGAGCATCTTTTCATGTGTTTGTTAGCCATCTGTATGTCTTCCTTGGAGAAATGTCTGTTCAGTTCTTTGGCCCATTTTTTGATTGGGTCATTTATTTTTCTGGAGTTGAGCTGGAGGAGTTGCTTGTATATTTTTGAGATTAATCCTTTGTCTGTTGCTTCATTTGCTATTATTTTCTCCCAATCTGAGGGCTGTCTTTTCACCTTGCTTATAGTTTCCTTTGTTGTGCAAAAGCTTTTAAGTTTCATTAGGTCCCATTTGTTTATTTTTGCTTTTATTTCTAAAATTCTGGGATGTGGGTCATAGAGGATCCTGCTGTGATTTATGTCGGAGAGTGTTTTGCCTATGTTCTCCTCTAGGAGTTTTATAGTTTCTGGTCTTACATTTAGATCTTTAATCCATTTTGAGTTTATTTTTGTGTATGGTGTTAGAAAGTGTTCTAGTTTCATTCTTTTACAGGTGGTTGACCAGTTTTCCCAGCACCACTTGTTAAAGAGGTTGTCTTTTTTCCATTGTATATCCTTGCCTCCTTTGTCAAAGATAAGGTGACCATAGGTTCGTGGATTTATCTCTGGGCTTTCTATTCTGTTCCATTGATCTATATTTCTGTCTTTGTGCCAGTACCATACTGTCTTGATGACTGTGGCTTTGTAGTATAGTCTGAAGTCAGGCAGATTGATTCCTCCAGTTCCCTTGCAGTCTTTTTTAACTTTTTATTTTATATTGGAGTATAACCAATTAACAGTGTGGTAGTTTCTAAATCCGTATTCTTAGAATTAGCTCTCTGTCCTCCCTGAACACCCACATCCCATGTTTTGGTCTTAGTTCAGGTTTACTGTATTCATACCTCCAAGTCCACCTGAAAGGAGTGCCAAGTGGAAAGAAAGGAACTCATATCTGTTGAGCATCTATTGTGTGCTGAGCACAGGTGGATGCTCTGGAAATATTATTTCAGTAGCCCAGCGAGCTGGGAATTATGATCTCTGTTTAATAAGATAAAGAAATGAAATCTGGAAGTGAAGTAGCTTCTCAACTTCACATACCTCTGGGAGATAATGGATTCTAGAACTTGGCATCATGCCCACATTGTCATCTTGGTTTAGAAGAAAGAAGCTGTGATGTGGCCCCAGGGATAGAGATTTGAATGCATATGTATTGTTCTAAACTGAGTGGAGCAGGTGAGAGCCTTTCCACAGCGCCTTTTATCCCTAATCACAGACCTGATCCCTATGTTGGATAGATTGTTTCCTCTTACTGGGGCTGGTAGTGACCATATGAACCTTTGGTTTGCAGTTGTGACCCCTGATTCCAGCAGCATGGCTCAATGGAATCAGCTCCAGCAGCTGGACACACGGTACTTGGAGCAGCTCCATCAGCTGTACAGTGACAGCTTCCCCATGGAGCTGCGGCAGTTTCTGGCCCCTTGGATCGAGAGTCAAGATTGGTAAGTCCTTCTCAAGAAACTCCCCAAATTGCTAGGTTTTAGTTTGAGTCAAGAGACATGATCTGCTCTAACTTAACTCTTTGCTTACTATTTCATCTTAAAGCTTATAGTTGCAGGTGACAGGGCAAAAGAGATTGGAAAGTAGAGGTCATTTTACTCCTGAAAAACACTTTTACGTTAGAAGGGCATCTGAACAGCTGTCTTTTGGCACATTGAAAACATCCTGCTTGGTGGTTCAGTTCAGTTCAGTCACTCAGTCGTGTCCGATTCTTTACGACCCCCTGGACTACAGCACCCCAGGCCTCCCTGTCCATCACCAACTCCCCAGAGTTTACTCAAACTCATGTTCATTGAGTCGGTGATGCCATCCAACCATCTCATCCTCTCTTGTCCTTTCTTTCTTCCCTTTCTGCCTTCACTCTTTCCCAGCATCAGGGTCTTTTCTAATGAGTCAGTTCTTCGCAAGATGTTTTGAAATTGAAAGTAAAAAGTGTTACTGGTTCAGTCGTGTCTCACTCTGTGACCACATGGGCTGTAGCCCGCCAGGCTCATCTGTCCATGGGATTCTCCAGGCAAGAATACTGGAGTGGGTTGCCATTCCCTTCTCTAGGGAATCTTCCCGACCCAGGGGTTGAACTCAAGCCTCCCACATTCCAGACAGATTCTCTACCATCTGAGCCACCAGGGAAGCCCATTTTAATTTCATTTGCTTGATGAAATTCTCTGCATGTTCTGATGCTTCAGGGACATGCTACAGATGTGTTTTTTTTTTTATCTGAATGATAATTTTGTCGTGGATTAAAAAAGGTTTGGGTTTGTACTTCTGATTCCTTTTCATTAAAGAAAAGAGATACAGAGTCAGAGAAACAGACTCATTCATAGAGGAGATAGGGATTCCCTGGTGGCTTAGATGGTAAAGAAACCAACTGCAATGCAGGAGACCCGGGTTTGTATCCCGGGTCAGGAAGATCCCCTGGAGAAGGAAATGGCAACCCACTCCAGTATTCTAGCATGGAGAATTCCATGAACAGAGGAGCCTGGCAGGCTACAGTCCATGGGATGGACATGACTGAGAGACTAACACTTGGTCGTAGAGGAGATAATGGTACAGAATCCCAGCAACTCTTTCCTTCACTTTAATGTGTTCAGATCCACCTTTTAATTTTGGTTTAATTCAGGCCCCTGACCTAGTTTTTCCAGAATTTGGTGAGGGAACAGGGAAGTGATTCAGAGATGTTGGAAATAGGCCGTCCTAACCTGAAAGATAGATGGTTGGATGGCATCATTGACTCGATAGACATGGGTTTGGGTGGACTCCGGGAGTTGGTAATGGACAGGGAGGCCTGGCGTGCTGCGGTTCATGGGGTTGCAAAGAGTCGGGCATGACTGAGCGACTGAACTGAACTGAACTGAACCTGGGATTGGTTATTTGTACTGAAAATTTGACCATAGAGTTGACTGAGAATTTAAAGGAAAACAGCGTATCTGATCTTTCAAAATTTGATAAATATAGAATTATGACAGTTGCTGCTGCTAAGTCACTTCAGTCGTGTCCGACTCTGTGCGACCCCACAGACAGCAGCCCACCAAGCTCCGCTGTCCCTGGGATTCACCAGGCAAGAACACTGGAGTGGGTTGCCATTTCCTTCTCCAATGCATAAAAGTGAAAAGTGAAAGTGAAGTCGCTCAGTCATGTCCAACTCTTCGCGACCCCATGGACTGCAGCCTACCAGGCTCCTCCATCCATGGGATTTTCCAGGCAAGAATACTGGAGTGGGGTATTACGTTCTCCGATGACAGTCGCTAATAGTATCCAAAATAATTACTGGTAATTTTAAAATCAGTGACATTTATGATTGCTGAGTAAGATGCATCTAAAGTGGTGAGTGGGTTAAAGCATCAGGTTTGCCTTGTTTTTCCCTCCTTGATGGTGATTTCGAGTGCGTGCCTGTGCAAGTATGAGCGTGTGTGTGTGTAGGTTTCAGAATCATTCTTTATCTTTATCTTCCTTTTTTTAGGGCATATGCGGCCAGCAAAGAATCACATGCGACTTTGGTGTTTCATAATCTCTTGGGAGAAATTGACCAGCAGTATAGCCGCTTCCTGCAAGAGTCCAATGTTCTCTATCAGCACAATTTGCGAAGAATCAAGCAGTTCCTTCAGGTGTGATGAGAAACTGAACCTGCAGAGGAGGGTTTTAGCTTTCTTTCCTGAAAACGTTTCTTTTCTTACTAGGCTAACTAATAACCTATCTTGTATTTTAAATCCAAGGAGAAGTTACCAGCCCTTTGAGTAATATTGCTTGAAATTTACTTCATTGGTTCATTGAAATAATAATGTGATTTTTTTATGTTAAATATATTAGTATGCTAACAAGTTACAAGTTCAGATGACTAGGAAAATGGCTGTCTTACTTTTCAGCGTCAAAGGCTTGGACACCATAGTTGGATACTCCTTGACAAAGTCAGTCACCCCCCTGTAAGACCAGGATAACTCACTGCCCAAAGACAGATGACCAAGTCTACTCTCACTGCAGTACTGCTCATCGTGACTGCCTGCCTTCTTCTCTTCGTCACTTCATCTCCTACTGACTGTAGCCAGGCTCTGATGCTCTGTGGTCCATGTAGTAAACATTAACACTTTCCCTAGTTTACGAGGAAGTTAGCTTTAAGTTAGCAAGGTTCGGTGCTTGCTTCGGCAGCACATATACTAAAAATAAGTTAGCAAAGTTCGGTCCACATCTCCTGAGTCTGCTGCTGCTTTTCATTCTTTGTCTCCCCACTTACAGAGCAGATACCTTGAGAAGCCAATGGAGATTGCCCGAATTGTGGCCCGTTGCCTGTGGGAAGAGTCCCGCCTCCTCCAAACTGCAGCCACTGCAGCCCAGGTGAGGCCTGGGAAGAAACAAGCGCTGTTGACATGTGCTTCCTTTGTGTGAACGAAGATGTCCTTGCTTTTTGACCTCCATAGTAGTGGGTGTTTGGGGGTTTTGTTTTGTACTGTAAAAATAACTTTCTCAAAAAAAATTAACTTTCTCAGCATATAGAATGCATTCTCCTTTTTAGGAAAGACTTTTAAGTAATAAAACATTACAGAAAATTACAAGGAAGAAAGTTTTAAGAAGAGCTGAAAGGTTACTCACTCCTCTGTCCATTTTCTCTTCCCAGGAAAACCAACATTAATAGTCTGGAATATATCCTTTCATAACTGTCTCCAGGCTCCTATAAACTATAGAAAACACACACACACACATTATATTTAAATTGGTTTGCTTCTCCACATCTTGCATTCTTTTGTTTAATTACATCATGTAAATCCTTCTAAGTCAAGTAGTTTAAAGCTAACTCACTTTATTTGCTGCGTAATATTCTGTAGTACATATTTGCTATTATTGATTATTGTCCCTTCAATAGACTTCATTTCATTCTGTTTTTTTTTTCTCCTCCACTAAAAACATTAGCACAGTGCCTCCCTATATATCTTAATATATTTATGCTATTTTCTCTTCTACAGATTTCTAGGCATGGGATTGTTAGATCAAGGGGTGTGTGTGTGTGTGTGTGTGTGTGTGTGTGTGTAAAATATATAAAATTTTATAGATAGTTCTGGGTTGCTTTCCCCAAATGCTGTTAACAGTTCACATTTGCACCAGGAGGAATGACAATGTACTATTCTTGAGAGCCACCTTGGGGGTGGTTTGAGATTGAGTCATTCAGGTTCATTTGTATTTCTCTTTGTGGTTAAGTTTGAGAATAACCTCCCTAGAGCTAGAGATACAGTTAATTTAGGGAATAGAGATTATATGACCCTACAGGCCCGTTGAGGGACCACATATTGATATATGATAGCCATATCCATCTCTCTAGATCATCTAATCTATTATATATCTATGTGTGTCCTCCTATGTGCTAGTTATTATGACCCCCTGCTCTAGAGGAGGTTGTGGTCTGAAACAGAAAATCAAACAACTTTATAATGCAGTGGATTTTCCAGGCAAGAGTACTAGCGTAGGTTGGTATGCCCCACTCCAGGGGATCATCCTGACCTAGGGGTCGAATTCTCTCCTATGTCTCCTTCATTGGAGGTGGGTTCTTTACCACTAGCACCACCTGGGAAGCTAATGAAAGATATACAAATTATTAAAATATATTTAAAAAGGTGAAAAAACTTGATTTAACCATAAAAATATATTGAAAAAGACTTAAAAAAAATTACACTTTGTATCCCGACAAAAAAGCCAATAGGCCAGATAGTTTAGAAGTTTTAACAAACCTTTGTGGTACAAGTTGTTCCATTATCATTTAACTCCTCCAAAGTGCAGGGGAAAAAGAGATGAGACTGAAATAATGCTAATATCAAGACCCAAACTACAGTGTAAATAAAACTTATTTTATGAGCTTGAAATAATGCTAACATCAAGACCTAAAAGAATGTAAATTTTAAATGGTTAGGATTTTTTAGGGAGTCTGTTAATGTAATTCATTAAATTAGTAAAAGAAGAAAAATTATATTTTTGTTAGATGACAAAATTTAGTATCCATTCTAGATTTTAAAAAGTAAAGAAATTAACAACAAAAAAAAGAAAATGTGTCAGAAATATGATACACAATGGTGAAACACTAAAGTAATATTGTTAAAATAGTTACAAGATTGAGGGTACCTCTTGCCACCGATATTTTTCTGAAAGATTAAGCCAATGTAATAAGACAGAAAAAGGGAGTGTAAATGTTGGAAAGTAAGAGACAAACTTTAAATAAGACAAAACAACACAACTATTGGAACTAACAAGAGTTCAGAAAAATGATTGTGTTCAAGGTAAATATTTTAAGAATCGGTAGTTCTCTTATAAATAGTAGCAATAATGTTTCATTATATGCAGATTTAATGGAAGATCAGCTTCATAACAGGAAAAACAAATGATATGATATGCATATGTTATTGATATGTGTGAAAAGATGACTGGAAGGATACATTTGTTGTTATTGTTTGGTCAGTAGCTAAGTCATGTCCGACTCTTTTATAACCCCATGGACTGTAGCCCCGCCAGGTTCCTCTTCCATGTGATTTCCTAGGCAAGAAAACTGGAATGTGTTGCCATTTCTTTCTCTAGGAGATCATCCTGACCCAGGGAACAAACCCGCCTCTCCTCCATTGACAGATAGATTCTTTACCATTGAGCTACCTGGGAAGCCCCAAAAAGATATGTACCAAAGCATTGATCTTGTTGGTTATAGGAGACTTTCTTCTTTTCCCTGAGGGTTTTTTTCATTTATTTGGCTGATTGGTTGGTTTTTTTTTGGCCACGCTGCCTGTGGGATTTTATTTCCTCAACCAGGGGTTGAACCCACACCTTCTGCAGAGAAAGCACAGAGTCCTAACCACTGGACTACCAGGAAATTCCCCTGAGGTGTTTTCTTTAATAACCTCTAATTGGGGAATTTTTTTTTTCTTTTTCCCTTCTTTAAAAAAAACTGTGGTAGCATACACACAACATGAAATGTACCTTTTTAACACTTTTTAAATATACAGTTCCATTAGTGTTAAGTGCATCACATTGTGTACTTCTCCAGAAATTTGTTCATCTTGCAAATTAAATTTCTATACCTATTAAACAATAACTTCTCATTCCCCCGGCATCACCATTCTACTTTCTGTCTCTATGAATTTGACCGTTCTTTGTTGTTGTTGTCCAGTTGCTAAGTCGTGTCTGACTCTTTACGACTCCATGGACTGCAGCGTGCCGGGCTTCTGTGTCTTTCTCTGTCTCCCGGAATTTGCTCAAACTCATGTCCATTGAGTTGGTGATACCATCCAGCTGTCTCATCCTCTGCTGCCCTCTTCTCCTCCTGCCTTCAATCTTTCCCACCATCAAGGTCTTTTCCAACAAGTTGGCTCTTCACATCAGGTAGCCAGAGTATTGGAGCGTCATCATCAGTCCTTCCAATTCAGGGTTGAGTTCCTTTAGGATTAACTGGTTTGATCTCCTTACTATCCAAGGGGCTGTCAAGAGTCTTCTCCAGCACCACAGTTCAAAAGCATCAATTCTTTGGCGCTCAACCTTCTTTATGGTCCAACTCTCACATCCCTGCATGACTACTGGAATAACCATAGCTTTGACCAAACAGTCCTTTGTTGGCAAAGTGACGTCTCTGTGAATTTGACTATCTTAGGTACCTTATCTAAGTGGTAACATACAGTGTGTGCCTTTTTTGACTGGTTTATTTCTCTTAGCATAACATTGTTGAGGTTTATCTGTGTTATAGCATGTTTATCCAGAATTCCCTTCCTTTCAAAGGATGAATGCTATTCATTGTGTGTTTATATCACATTGTGTTTATCCATTCATCTTTATTCAAGTGTCAGTGGACTTGGGCAGCTTCTACCTTTTGGCTATTGTGAGTGATGCTGCTGTGAACATGAGTGTGCAATATATATATTTTTTTCTTTTCAAAGACAAAAACGGGGACTTCCCTGGTGGTCCAGTGGCTAAAACTCCAAGCTCCCAATGCAGGGGGCCCGAGTTCAACCCCTGATCAGGGCACTAGATCCCACATACTGCAACTGGGTGTTCATGTACATCAACAAAAAGATCCAGCACGCCGCAACTAAGACCATGCGGCGTGCCAAGTTGCTTCAGTCATGTCTGATTCTTTGTGACCCCGTGGACATGGCCCACCAGGCTCCTCGGTCCATGAGATTCTCAGGCAAGAATACTGGAGTGGGTTGCTGTGCCTCCCTGCCAGGGAATCTTCCCTACCCAGGGATCAAACCTTCATCTCTTACATCTCCTGCTTTGGCAGGCAGGTTCTTTACCACCAGCGCCACCTGGCAACTAAGGCCAGGCACAGCCAAATTAATAATTAAAAAAAAAAAAAAAGACAAAAATACAGCAGGAACAAAGAAGAAAGAACATCTAAGTCTAACTGAGAGAATCGGAGAAGGCATTGAGGAGAAAGGAGAGGTCATGTTTGAGCCAAGGCTCAAGGCTTATCAGATGGGCATCAGGCAAATGGTATAGAGAGCACACCATAGGCAGAAAGAAAGATCATGTTCAAACAGGGAATCAGAAGCATATGTGTTCTTGGGAGAAGTGTAGAAAGTTCAGCATCTGGCTGGTTAAAGGAGGATAAGGCGGTCAGAGGGCCACATCGTGAGAATCTAGTTAGTCATGCCTTAGTTTGGCCCCAGAAAAGCAGTTTTACCACAGGGACTTGGGCCCAGACTGCCTGTATGTGAACCCCAGCGCTCTGCCATGTGCTGTGTAACCTTAGGCAAACTGTTTGCTCTCTTCTCCTCCATTGGGGAAGATAATTGTACTGACTTCATAGAATTAAATTAGTTCCTACATGTAAAATGCATAGAACAGGACCTGACACATGCATGCAAGATAAATGTTAACTGTTTTCTGTTGCTGCTGCTATTGTTATCATCAAGTCTGTTCAAAATGGGACCCACTAAAGAATTTCTTTTTTTTTTTTGGCTGCACCACACAGCATGTAGGATCTTAGTTCCCTAACCCAGGATCCAGCTGTGCCCTCTGCAGTGGAAGCACAGTCTTAACCCATGTACCACCAGGGAGGGCCCTCCACTAAAGAATTCTATGTAGAAAGCTGCTATGCTCAGATGCAGGTGAGGGGGTAATACTCATCATTCAAGACTCTGAAGTAAGAGAGGTTAGCAGATGGTACTTGTCTGTGCATCACTAGGGTTTGCTGTTTGTGGAGAACTTTTATGTTTGCATACTGTTCCATAGGATAAAAATAATCAACTTAAGCCAATTTGGACAGAGGCGCCAACTTACCATGGGAGTTAGAAAAGCAGGAAGTGTCCCAAGGATGTTCCCAATTGTGTTGATCGGGGCTGGCAACCAATGCCCAGGGCCCAAATCCAGCCTGCTGTGTTGTTTGTTTGCTTTTTTATTTATTTAAAATTGAAGGCTAATTACAATATTGTGTTGGTTTCTGCCGTACATCAACATGGATCAGCCATCAATATACATATATGTTCCCTCCCTCTTGAGACTCCCTCCCACCTCCCATTCCATCCCAGCCCTGTAGGTTGTCACCGAGCCCTGGTTTGAGTTCCCTGAGTCATAACAGCAAATTCCCACTGGCTATCCATTTTACATATGATAGTGTATGTGTGTCCCTGATGCTCTCTCCATTCATCCCATCCTCTCCTTCCAATCCCCCTCCCACCCCATGCTGTGTATTTTTGCAAATGAAGTGTTTTTGGAACTCAGCCACTCACGTTCACCTGTGCACTGTCTCTAACTGCTTTCATGCCACAATGGCAGGGCTGCGTATTTATGACAGAGACTTCATAACCGACAAAGCCAGAAAAATTTACAGTGTGGCCCTTAGAGAAAAAGTTTGCAGCCCCATGCTACAGAGCTAGCTCAAGCCAGGTCTCCCTGTTGTTTTGTCTGTTGACATCGTCTGGCATATTCCCACCTGTCTTTTGTGGGTAAAGCCCTGGGAGACTAGTGGGATGTGGTCCCTTGTCTCCCAGGGCTCTCTGTCTAACTGGGTAACAGGTGCACAAACACTTCAAGTGAGAAGAACGTAAAGGAGGATGTTGAAGTTGATTAAGCTTTCATAGTGGAGCAAAAATATTTGTACTGAGTTTGGAAGTGAATGAGTTCAGGTGTGCCAGTCTGAGTGAGATGGCGCTAGTGGTAAAGAACCTGCCTGCCAATGCAGGAGACATAAGAGACTCAGGTTCCATCCCTGGGTCGGGACAATCCCCTGGAGGAGGGCGTGGCAACCCACTCCAGTATTTTTGCCTGGAGAATTCCATGGACAGAGGAGCCTCGTGGGCTACAGTCCAGAGGGTCACAAAGAGTTGGACACGACTGAAGCAACTTAGCACGCATGCATGCACACAATTAGGCTGAGCAGACAGGCTGCAGGGAGTCAGTGTGGAAACTTGCTGTATGCAGAGAAGGGTGGGGAGTTTGCGGTGACTGAAGCGCAGGGAGGGAGGGTTTAAGTTCTTGGATTGTGTGAAACAGCTGTCTGTGCTGGGCTGAGATGCTAATAGCTGGAAGCAGGGGGCACTGTTTCTGTGGGTGTTAACTGATCACATCCGTTTTCCTTCTTTAAGTGTAGTGCCAATTTAGAAATAGATCTGGGAGGACTTCCCTTCAACTTCTGGTCAGGGAATGAAGATCCCACATGCCATGTGGCACAGCCAAAATATAAAGAAAAAAATTTTCTAAGAAACAGACCAGGAAGTTGACACCAGGTGAAACAATCAGCTGTATTGTTGGTAAACAGGACTGGAAAGCATGACTTGGATGGATGACTGTAGGGGCTTTATTTTTGTTTATTTGTGTGTTTCAAATTTTTTTAAAAACTTATTTTTATATCAGAGTATTGTTAACAAAGTACAGCAAAGTGATTCAGTTATATGTATATATCTATATATCTGGGGCTTTTCAGGTGGCTCAGAAGGTAAAGAATCTGCCTGCAGTGTGGGAGACCCGGGTTCAATCCCTGGGTTGGGAAGATTCCCCTAGAGAAGAGAATGGCTGCCCACTCCAATATTCTTGCCTGGATAATTCCAGAGATAGAGGAACCTGGTGGGCTATAGTCCAGGAGGTGGCAAAGAGTTGGACATGTCTGAACAATTAACACTTTGACTTTTCATACATGTATCTATTCTTTTTCAAGTTCTTTTCCCATTTAAGCTATTACATAGTATTGAACAGAGTTCCTTGCGCTATACAGTAGGTCCCTGTTGGTCATCCATTGTAAATACAGCAGCCAATCCCAAACTATTTATTTATATTGAAGTATAGTTGATCTACAGTGTTTCAAATGCACAGCAGAGCAATTCAGTTTCTTATTCAGATTCTTTTCCATTATAGGTGATTATAAGATATGGATTATAGTTCCCTGTGTTGTTCAGGAGGTGCCTGTTGTGTAGATGCCTGTTGTCTGAGTCAGGTCTTGGGGTGAGAGACTGGGTTTGCAGGACAGCACTGCCCCAGCCATCTTTTTGGAGCTTTAGAGACCACATGCTAATATACCTCCTGAACTCAGACACATGGGCCTCTAGAACTGCTTCTAGAAACCAGACCCTGGCTCCTGCCCTAGATGTGCCCCGGGAAGGCAAGAGTGGGAGGAGAGAGCCACCAGCTTAAGGGCTGGGTCTTCAAAGATCTCTGTGTGGGCAGTCTTTCTCCCAGTCTCACTGATTCAATGAGTCACTCCTGTGAAGAGAGTTATGTGAGAGTGGAGGTCGCCTTCCTGGGACTTCTAAGGGAAGTTTATATTCTGTGGGCTTGGACAGGGTCCAGGAAAAGGAGAGAATAGTTCCTTCTAACAGTGGCATGTTTCAGTCTACTTTGGAGACTTGTGGTAGCAGTGTGGAGAGCAGATTGGAAGTGAGAGAGACTAGAGGCAAAGGGATCCACTGCTGGGGCTTCAGTGGAGCCAGTGGCACTGGAGATGGATTGGAGAGATTACAGAATACAGAGCCAGGAAGCTCTGGCAGCTCAGTGTGAAGTCAAAGACAACTGAAAATTTCTAGTTTGGAAAACTGGACTCTCAATTCTTTTCCACCACACTGTCTTAGTCACTGCAGCTTTTACATGGTCTTTAATGTCCTCTTACTTTGACAGAACTTATTTGTAAGTTGCATGTGCTATTCAACCTTTTCGAGGCACCAGCCATCACCTTCCCTTTTGCCCCGAGATGATATCTCTTGATTGGGAATTTTATTATTCTACGGAAATGTGTTAAAAACCTTCATGCTTTTTTTTTTCGGCTGTACCGCATGACATTTGAGATCTTAGTTCCCCAATCAGGTGAGATCTTAGTTCCCCAACCAGGCATCAAACCTTCACACGTGCAGTGAAAGTGTGTATACTTAACCACTGGACTGCCAGGGAAGTCCCCCTCCCCCTGTGCATTTAAACAGGCATATAGCATCTGATTTCAGAGTTTGTCCTGATTTAAAACAAAAAAATGTATACATCCTTACCTGTAATGAGTTTTTTGAAGGTAGGGACTGTGTCTTAGCTCAACATGTGTCTCTGAGTGCAGAACATAGAACGAGTTTATAGTATGGCATCCCTGCTGGCTCAGTCAGTAAAGAATCTGCCTGCCAGTGCAGGAGATGTGGGTTCGATCCCTGGGTCAGGAAGATCCCCTGGAGAAGGAAATGGCAACCCATTCCAGTCTTCTTGCTTGGAAAATTCCATGGACAGAGGAGCCTGGCAGGCTACAGTCCATGGAGTCACTAAAGAGTCAGACACAACTTAGCTACTAAACCACCATGAGATTAAAAAGCTAAGGATAAGAGGAAAAGTGTGAGAGCTTTCTTGGCCTGCACTGACAGCCCCTGCAGAGCAGTGGGTGCCGTGGGACCGCCCCTCTCCTCACAGCGGCAGCAGCAGCAGCTCAGGCCAAGCCGGAAGGGTCACGGAGGAGATGGAGACCAGACAGGGATATTCTTCTCCCGCTATTTCTGGCTTTCATGTGCACGTGCTCCCTGTTTTGGCAGCAAGGGGGCCAGGCCAACCACCCCACAGCCGCCGTGGTGACAGAAAAGCAGCAGATGCTGGAGCAGCACCTGCAGGACGTCCGCAAGCGTGTCCAGGTGAAGCAAGTCTTGGGCGGGAAGCCTTTTCTTGGGGAAGCGTCCTGTGGGTCCCGTGTGTAGCTTTTGTGAGGTTGTGGCTTTATTTGAATCCTACTCAGAAACTTTCTTTTCTCTCTCCCGAGGGCAGTCCTTTTTTTTACTTCTCTTTTGGTTGGTTTGTTTGAAACAGGATCTAGAACAGAAGATGAAAGTGGTAGAGAATCTCCAGGATGATTTCGATTTCAACTATAAAACCCTCAAGAGTCAAGGAGGCAAGTGCATGTTAGAGACATTAAAATCCCCCATGTAAAGTGAGTTTGTGTTACTGGAGTCTCAGAGCTGGCTCATCTTGACTCTGTGTTCGGACTCAGGGGAAGGGGCGCTCAGGGGCTGCTGGCGGTTAAGGGAGCCCAGTTACTGAGGCTAGGCGTATTCACTCAGTTCACGGAGGTTCACCTTCCTTCTCAGACATGCAAGATCTGAATGGAAACAACCAGTCGGTGACCAGGCAGAAGATGCAGCAGCTCGAACAGATGCTTACTGCCCTGGACCAGATGCGGCGCGTAAGAGCAGTGGACCCCCTCCCCCTGCCTGGCTCACTCGCCGTCGGGAATTGGGCATCTCTGGGAAGAACTTGCCTGTTTCCTAATCAGTTCCTTCTCTGGAATTGACCAAAGACTGTGGTTAGAGACGGTCTGGGGGAATGTTTTCTGACTTTGTTTTTTGGTTTCCAACCAGAGCATCGTGAGTGAGCTGGCGGGGCTTTTGTCAGCAATGGAGTATGTGCAGAAAACTCTCACAGATGAAGAATTGGCTGACTGGAAGAGGCGACAACAGATTGCTTGCATTGGAGGCCCTCCTAACATCTGCTTAGATCGGCTAGAAAACTGGTATGATAGAGAAGAGAAGTTCCCCCTTTCTTTTCAGAGAGCTGTGCTAAATCATGGTCAGAGCTGCATAAAGAGTTGCTACTGTATTTCAGTAGAGAAGGCATGGCAACCCACTCCAGTATTGTTGCCTGGAGAATCCCATAGACAGAGCAGCCTGGCAGGCTACAGTCCATAGGATCGTACAGAGTCAGATAGAACTGAAGTGACTTAGCGTGCACATACTGTATTTCAGAGGTGGGGATTTCAACATACTCAAATTTAGTCTAAGGGTTAAAGCTTTTTACTTTATTTGGACAATTTTTAAAATGATAATGTATTCGTGTTTGCTATATTTTAAATATATTTTGCTAATTTAAAGTTTTTGGTTTAATTGTTTTAAATTTTAGTTATTCTAAGACTCCCAAATGACATGTGCTCTTTATAAGAGAAAAAAGTTTAAATACAGAAAGTTGATAATGAGCAGAAAAGACTTTAAAAATCAAATCATAAAAAAAAAAAAATCAAATCATGTAGAGGTACTTAGAGTTAAACATTTGGTGACAGTCACTCCAGACATGTTATTATATATACATATACAAAGATAGAAATCCTTACATTTCACATTTGTAGGATCATTCTTTATATGCTTGTCTATAATCTGCTCTTTTACTTTGATTCACTCAGAAAATCATGATTGAGCACCCAAGGCCCGATACTCAGTATGTTGCACCAGCTTAAACTGGGAGAAACTTGACCTGACAGGGACCCCAGATACACAGAGCATGAAATTGGAAATTTAGGATAGCTCTACAGGAGAGGCCTGTTTTGTTCATCTAACTAACCCTGAGCTTTGCTCATTGATTGAAAGCAGTTTTAAATGTTTTCTGATCAGGGAACCAAATAGCTTTTAAGTTCTAGGAGTGTATTGAGATGTTTCTATAACATCTTATAGGAAAACCAAGCAAACATTTTGGCCAACCCTGTAGGTGCTAGAAGGGAGTCTGTGACCTCAGGAGTCCTGGTGCTGTCCTTCTCCCCCCCTTGCCTTCCACTCTCTCTCTTTGGGGTCTTTACTAAACTAGTGGGGGACCATCAAAGACAGCCACTGATAGTCTCCCTCCTTGGGCACAGACTTAATCAGCCTTTGTCTCCCTGTCTACTTTTTCTATATGCATGTTACCAATATTTGGAAACATAATGTCGCATCTGGTCATCCGTGGAAGGTGAGGTTTAAAGGGCTCCTGGGGATCGTGCAGTTCAACCCTGTCTCTCAGGCAAGGGGACATCAAGGCCCACGAGGGTGAAAGAACCTGGCCAAGCTTGCAAAGACAGTGAGGAAGAGAGCTGTTCAAACCTATCTTGGGCTGTCAGATATCCTGTGTTTCCCTAGTCCTCACATTTGGTACAAAAACAAGTTAGGCTGAGGAAAGTGAGCACCAAATTCTATATTTTGTATTCTCTGTAGATTCTGGGTTCTAAAGTGTTAATTTTCCATTGGTTACCTCATTAATGCCTCCTAGTGGTGTAAGTTTTGGCATGTCTTCCTCTGTGTCTGCTTCCTCCTTTGAAAAGTAAACTTTTAGGAAGTGAAATGAAGGTTGCTCAGTTGTGTCCGACTCTTTGTGACCACATGGACTGTGGCCTGCCACACTCCTTGTCCATGGAATTCTCTAGGCAATAATACTGGAGTGGGTAGCCATTCCCTTCTGGCAGGCCAGAGGTTAGGACTTGGCACTTCCCTGGTGGGGATCCTGCAAACTATGCTACATCCCCCCTCCCCTGAAAAAAGGGCAAAATAATTTTCCCTTTTCTAATCTAGTGCCGCTACACAATGTATTTAGAAATGGTCAATTTTATGCTACTCACATTTTCCCATAATGAAAAAAATGCCCCTTTCTTATGTCGGATGACTGCATGAGAATACCTGTGGTATTATTCCCTTCCCCTTTTCCAGCTCATTTATATACACCCAGAACATATAACTGGGAACATCCTTATTTTATTGGCAGGATAACCTCGTTAGCAGAATCTCAGCTTCAGACCCGCCAACAAATTAAGAAACTGGAGGAGCTGCAGCAGAAGGTTAGCTACAAAGGGGACCCCATTGTACAGCACCGGCCAATGCTGGAGGAGAGAATCGTGGAGCTGTTTAGAAACTTAATGAAAAGGTAACATAGAGCCCTTGCCCGTTTCCCCCATCACCTCCCCCACCAATGTTCTTGAACGAGAGGTTGGTCGACTTCCGAGGAACAGGACGGGGACCAGCCCACTGCATCATGTGTGACCCACTGACTTTCTCTGTCCCCTCCAGTGCCTTCGTGGTGGAGCGGCAGCCCTGCATGCCTATGCATCCTGACCGGCCATTAGTCATCAAGACCGGTGTCCAGTTCACAACTAAAGTCAGGTGGGCTGCGGCACCTCCTCTTCTGATGGATGTTGTATCAAGGGACACCCTCAGGGTGTCCCAACAGAGTTGGTGGGCAGGGTTGTTCTTTACAGCCATCGCAGGCAGTGCTGTGATGGATAGGGAGTTTTTTGGCGAAATATCAACTTGCTCTTTGATCGTCCTGTCAAACGCTAAAGAACAGGAATCTTTCTGAGGTTACTTGGGTATATTCCTATGATTCGGTCCCACTGTATTCCTGATTCCAGGCCTGATGTCTCAGGTCATAGCATCTCCATCTACCATGCAAAAGGGGCAGAATAATGCCAGTTATCTTCTGTTCTTTGAGCCTGCTTTTTCCTGAGCATTTGAAGGGAAGAGTAAAGCTTAGTGATAATAGACGCTAAGAGGTCACAGGGCAGGTGGGTGGGGGACCTGCAGGTAGAGCATTACTTTCACATTCAAGTCAGAACAGGTAAGCTGGGGTTTGCCCTTCTGCAGTGAAATTTCCCTCCTCAGAAAGGTTGGTAGTACGCTGTTGGGTTTCCGGTCTAATAGAAAGAATACCAACTTCAGAGCGTGTATTCCTGTAATGTTTTTCATGAAATGGCTTTCATTATGCTTTTGTGTGTCTCTCACAACTTCGTCCAAGTTCTTAGTTCTTAGGCTTTTTTTTTTCAGTCTCTTTTGGCCTGAAGGGGGTGATGCTTGACTTAAGATGAAAGGAAGCACTGGCAGGAAGAAAAATTTGGGATTATGACTCATCTCTTCAGAATTGAAGAGTTATGAATTTTAGATTCAACTAGAAGTTGCTGGGGGAGCCTAGTGGCTGTTTTTTAAAACTGGATTTTTTTTCCTTTGCTCTGAAACTTTCCCCCCCTTTTTTTTTGACATAGATTGCTGGTTAAATTCCCTGAGCTAAATTATCAACTTAAAATTAAAGTGTGCATTGACAAGTAAGTACTCTTTATCTTAGCTCCTTTTTTTTTCTCTTTTCTTCAAATGAGGGACAGAGAAATGAGAACTTTGATAGACATCATGTGAACCTAGAGGCTTTATCTATATTCAGAGATCTTAATTTTTTTTTTAAGTTTTCAAAAGCCTTACTGTGCATTGTCATTTACGTGCCTGAACAAAACCACGAAGCTGGTGGTAGCGATTTGAATTGTGATTGCCATTGTGACCTCAAGTCCCTCTTTCTTTGTTTTTTTACTTATAAATGTAACTTGTGCATATTATGTAAAATTGAGAATATATGGGAAAATTGATTTTAGTTGTTGTTCCACAGTTTACCACATAATGGAATCCTCTTCCAAATTTGACAGTACCTTTAAAAAAAATTAAAATGCACTTACCCTCTGAAGACATTAGAAAAGAGAAAATGTAGGTGATATAATTATTCATCTGGAAATTCCATGAGAATGAACTAGAAAATAGTTATGAAGCCAGGGACTCGAGGAAGGTGGTAGGTTTCATAAATGAGTAAGCAAAAATTAATGACTTTAACCATAAATTAGCATTAAAAAATCACCTTCTCACTAAAAAAAAAAAAAACTGTCCATCAGAATAAATTCTAGATGTATCTTAAAAGCATAGGCAAGGACTTCCCTGGTGGTCCGGGGTTAAGAATCTGCCTGCCAGTGCAGGGGACACAGGTTTGAGCCCTGGTCTGGGAAGATTCCACATGCTGAGGGGCAACTAAGCCTGTGAGCTGCAACTCGAGAGTAGCCCCTGCTTACCACAACTAGAGAAAGCCTGAGCACAGCGACAAAGACCCAGCACAGCCAAAAAATAAATAAGTTAATTAATTAAGATTTTTTAAATGAAGAAGCAAATGTGTAATGTAATGGTGGTAGAATGGCAACCACTTTTGGAGAACAGTTTGGCAGTTTCCTGAAAAGTTAAACATGCACCTATCCTACAACCCAACCACTCCACTCCTAGGTGTTCATCCAAGAGAATTGAAAGTGTATGTCCACACAAAGGGTTGAACAGGAATCTTCACTGACAGATGAGTGTCCATGAGTTTGTGGTATATCCACGCAAGGGAAATACTACTCACCAACAAAAAGGAAAATACACGGATAAATCTCAAAACAAATACACCAAGAGGGAGAAGCCAGACCGAGAAAAGAGAGTACATACTTTATGTTTCCATTTATATAAAATTCTAGAAGTGCAAATAAATCTGTCATGACCAAAAGCAGATCATTGGTTGTCTGGAGACAGGTATGGGTGGAGTGTGGGACTGGGGAATGGGTTGCATAAGGGAGGTGGGAACCTTGGGGATGAGGGATTGATGAATACATTCAGCCTCTTGATTGGGCTGGTGTCACAGGTGTGTGTGGTATACATCTATCAGACCTCATCAGCTTGTGCATTTTACATATGCAGTTTATTATTCATCAATTATACATCAAAGCTGTAATACAAATAAATAATATAAAATAAATAAATATAGGCTAGACATGAGGGAAAACTTTCTGATAACGAGGACTTGATTTAAGTTCTAAAATGTGATATATGGGAGGTCCCCACATGGTCTAGTGGTTAAGTCTCCAAGGTTTCACTGCTGAGGGCCAGGTTCAATCCCTGGTTGGGGAACTAAAGTCCCACAAGCCAAGTGGCCCGCAAAACACATAAAATGTGATATATGAAAAGATATCTTCTAAATGGTTTAAAAGTTGATCCAATTTAATCTATAAACTCCCATGGAATGCACTATCTATTAAGTAGTAGATATTATTAATTCTAAAAGCATAAGTGGATATATAGCAATGGAGAAGGACTTTAAAAACAGTACTAAAATAATTTTTAAAAGAAAACACTGAGAAGTGGTGACTGTATAAAAAATGAAATACTCAAAAACATAGTTAAAAGACAAGGAACACGCTGGGAAGAATATTTCTGGCTGTATCAATGGGATACTGTGAGTTGCAGGTAACAGTAGACCTTTATAGAAAGCCCAGTGTGGCTTCAGTAATAAGGAAATTTGCAACCCAGTATAACTGGAAATGCAAAGTTAGAGCAAGTTCCGGGTTGTGAGATCAGTGACTCAATTCCTGTCACCAAGGATCCAGAACCTTCCATTTCTCTTCTCTGCCACCATAAGTAGCACGGGCATTCTAGAGTGCCCTCTAGGTTGCAGCATGGTTGCTTGTAGTAAAGGCCACCTGTCTCCTTGCTGATGTGCAGCTGAAGCTACAGAACAGAAATCCAGCCTGAGGGAGAATTCCTTCCCGGTCTGATTGAGACAGTGTAGGTCCTGTCCTCACTCCTGGGCCACTGCATTGTGCATATGCTCGGTTCTGTGGGCTTAGTGAGCAGGATCCCCTGGAAGTGGGAATGGGAAAGGATACTTGATGGAGTCAAGGTTCTGTTAGGAAGAGGGGAGTAGAGGTTGGGTAGGCAACCAGCTGTGTCTTCTACTTGAGCCTGTACAGGGATGTTAGATTTCACATACACCGTGTAATTGAGTCCTTGACAGAAATCCCCAGGAGAACAGCAGTTTTTCCATCCAAGTAAATGATAGGTATTCAAAGTGGACTTTTGAAGAGACTCGGGGCCTGTTTATTAACGCTGGTTTATGTTCTTAACAGAGACTCCGGGGACGTTGCAGCTCTCAGAGGGTAAGTTCAGCATACAGGCTTCCTTCTGTTCTGTATAATCTAACTTTGTCCCTGGCCATTTGGTCACGTATGTGGTTGGTCTTTTCCTCTTGTGATTCAGGTCCCGTAAATTTAACATTCTGGGCACAAACACGAAAGTGATGAACATGGAAGAGTCTAACAATGGCAGCCTCTCAGCGGAGTTCAAACACTTGGTACATGGGAGAAGCCTGGGCTCCCTTTTGTCAGGGCCTCTGGCAGGGAGAGGGGCTTGGGGAGAGGTTCACCTGACAGAGGATGCTCTTTGCTTTTCTTACAGACCCTGAGAGAGCAGAGGTGCGGTAATGGGGGCCGAGCCAACTGCGATGTAAGTTTTGTCGGAGATGATAGCTGAGCGGGAGAGAAAAAGAGCCTCCATGGGAACTTCCCTAGTGGTTAAGACTCCATGCTTCCAATGCAGGGGGTGTGGGTTTGATCCCTGGTCAGGGAACTAAGCGGAGAAGGCAATGACACCCCACTCCAGTACTCTTGCCTGGAAAATCCCATGGACGGAGGAGCCTGGTAGGCTGCGGTCCATGGGGTCACGAAGAGTCGGACAGAGTGACTTCACTTTCACTTTTCACTTTCATGCATTGGAGAAGGAAATGGCAGCCCACTCCAGTGTTCTTACCTGGAGAATCCCAGGGACGGCAGAGCCTGGTGGGCTGCCGTCTATGGGGTTGCACAGAGTCGGACACGACTGAAGTGACTTAGCAGCAGCAGCAGCAGGGAACTAAGATCTCACATGCCTTGCAGCCAGAACACTGTAAGAAAAGAAAAAGAGCCTCCTTACTTCCCAGAAGTAGACACCTACCTGCTGTTTCAGCTGCAGTCACCGCCACCCAACGCTTAAGAGGAGTTCTCTGGCCCAGCGCATTTCCTTGATTGTCTGGAGAGTTAGCTCATCTTTAAGGAATGTAAAGTCCCTTGCCCACACCCTCTTGGTAGAAAAGGAGCCTTCCGCCTTGCCTGGGGCTTTCCAAATTCCCCTTCGAACTTGAGTGCACTGACACGGCTTGTTTCAGCTTTTGGTGATCTGTTTTGGTCACTGAGATGGGATTGGTTTCAACACATCCAAATTAAACATTTTACCAAAAGGGAAACAGCAAACTCTCTTGTTCTTTACCCACCTTGTTTCTTCTCTGCCTCCCATTGACTCAGATTCTTGGATTGTTAGTGTTAAGAATAAACTTAAGGGAATTCCTTGGTGATTCAGTGGTTACGACTCGGGGCCTTCACTGCCGTTGGCCTGGGTTCAATTCCTGGTTGGGAAACTTAAGATTCCACAAACTATATGGCCCCCCCAAAAAGAATAAACTTTAAAAAAGAAAGTAAATGTGACCAAGCTCTGGTTTTAAATCTTTTTTATAAAATTGTGACACCCTATTCTTTTTCTGTTTGTCTCCTGAGCCATTCTTACCCTCTTCTCTAGAATGTAGCAGGCCTTTTAAAAAAACAAACTGAATCTATAAGACTTGACAGCAGTTGAAGAGTGAGGTTGTTTCTATGCAGTGATATGGGAAAATGTATGTGGCATATTTATTTAGAAAAAAAAGCAAAGTAATTTGAGTAGTATACTGGTATAATTGGTTAAAAATCACTGTTTCTTGTCCATTCATGTCTGCATTACAAAATTCTAGACGACTGTCTACCAAACAGTGCTTATATATTTGTGCTGCTGTTCTCACCCAAAGCTACTCTATACTATCTCTGTAATATTTGCATGTAAAATTGAATGTGTATTACTTTGTAATGAGAAAAAGAACATTTTAAAATATGAATTGGAACTTCTAATAATTCATTGACAATTCTCTTTCAAAATAGTCGCTTTGTTGCTGGTGTATCAATTGTTACAGTCACTTTGGAAAACAGTTGGGCATTATGAAAATAAACATACCCTATATACCAGCAGTGCCACTCCCAGGATTTAACAATAGAGAAATCTTTGCTCATAGGTGCCAGGAGACTGGCGCCAGGAGACATGCATTACATGTCACAGCAGCCTATTTGTAAGCCCTAAATACAACCCATATGTTAATAGCACTAGAGTAGATAAATGATCTGTGGTATAGTCAGGTGGTGGAATACTATGCAGCTATGAAAATGGATAAATTGCAGGTGTACACGATTACACAGATGTGAAAAGCGAGTCACAAAAGAATACACAGGGTATAATTCCTTATGTATGAGATTCACAATCCCCCCCCAAATTAAACAACACATACATTGTTTAGAGATATAAATGCAGTAAAACCATAAAGAAGAGCTAGGAAATGACAAACTCAAAAGATGAAATAGCAGTCACTTCTGAGGTAGGAGGCTCAGGGACGGATGCAGTTGGGAAGGGCACCCAGAGAACCTCTGTGGTGATGGTCTCTGCCTTAAACTGGGGCTGGGTACACAGGTGTTCACTCTTTGGTCATTATGCTGTTTCCATTTTATCCATGACCGATTGGATCTCCATAGTATCATCATAAAGCCAATAAGAGATCAGGTTGTGGATCAGAGCACTGGACAGTCGTAGAGTTGTGCTTCAGTTGTATCCATGGCCACCTGGAGGCTTGCGCTTCAGGATGGTGTAGTGATGGATGTCAGGACTCAATGCCATCCTCCCTGAGGAAGGACATCCTCCTCATTCTTGTAGGCCTCCCTGATTGTGACCGAGGAGCTGCACCTGATCACCTTTGAGACTGAGGTGTATCACCAAGGCCTCAAGATCGACCTAGAGGTGAGTTCTGTGCAGAACCTGGGTAGAACTGCCTGCAGGGTGATTCAGGATGGGGCTTCTTCTAGTTGGGGTTTTCACTCCAGAAGGTAGAATGATGACTCTTTGCTCAGCACTGTGTTTACATTTGCTTCTTTTTCTCTAAAAATTTGTTCGTATCTTGCCTGAGTGCTTAGAAGATACATGTCTACTCAGGTTCCAGCAAACTCGATGTAAAAACTCGTATTTAGGAATTGATTATAGCCAACTTTATACAGTTTGGGCAAAACAGTGTTTCAACCACCAGTGTTTTTAGTATCCAAACATTCATGGCATTTACCTGCTGTTTCCCCAACTTTCTTGATCTTTAAAGATACACCGGAAAAAGCAAGAACCCTAGTCTTTGATTCCTGGGACCTCTCTATCAAATGGGCAGATACAGCTTCAATACAGCAATGCGGGAGACTTGGGTTCGACTTCCCTGGGTTGGGAAGATCCCCTGGAGAAGGGAAAGGCTACCTATCCCAGTATCCTGGCCTGGAAAATTCCACGGACTGTATAGTCAATGGGGTCGCAAAGAGTCGGACACAACTGAGTGACTTGCACTCTTCACAGCTTCAATTCGTGAATGTCTTCCAAATTTTATAAATGGGGAGTCCGTGGACTGTGAGTCCACTGTGAGCGAGCCAGCTTTGTGAATTCCTGGTGATACTGAGACAGCCCCTGAGTTCGGCCTACTCTCCACGCTGGGTATCAAGCTGACCGGGCCCTACAGCTCCCTGCGGGCTGGCAGCAAGTGTACCCCACGACCTCTCCTTTTATTCCTAACCCTGTGAGATGCGGGTGAGGAGGTTTCTGGAGCCTCAAGGGCCCTTTGCCTCCTCAGCTCATTCCCTGCTCCCTCCATAGACGCACTCCTTGCCAGTGGTGGTGATCTCCAACATCTGTCAGATGCCCAACGCCTGGGCGTCCATCCTATGGTACAACATGCTGACCAACAACCCCAAGGTGAGTCGGGGGCCCGTGTTCTCCAGAGGCTCCTTGGTGCCTCGGGGCTGCCGCTCAGCAGGCGCCACCCTCTCGTCTAAAGGAGCGAATGTGTTATTTCCAATAGAACGTGAACTTTTTCACCAAACCCCCGATCGGAACGTGGGATCAAGTGGCCGAGGTGCTGAGCTGGCAGTTCTCTTCGACCACCAAGCGCGGGCTGAGCATCGAGCAGTTGACGACGCTGGCGGAGAAACTCTTAGGTCAGCCCTTGACCCCTTCTCCCTTTGCTCTCCTTGCAAAAGGACTCTGGCCCATGGGGCTGTTCATTCAGGAGAGTTGACTGAGCAAGGCGCTGGGCAGAGTACACCTGCTCCATCAGGCCCTGGAGTCAGGACGCAGAGGAGGTTTGCGCTTGGTGATCACTTTTACAAGACGGGAGGCAGATTTCCTTTCTGTTGGTGGCTGTCTCCCTGGGTACTTTGTCCAACCTTAGGAGGGTATTTTAAATGTATGTTAGAGCTAAAGGCTTGGCATCCCTGTCCGTTTCTTCAAGAAAATGTAGCTTGTTTTTAATCTTTTTTCCTGGAAGAGAAAAGTCGTGGACTGTTTCACATGCCACCTAGGCTTTGCCCACTAAACGTGGGCTCCCCAGATGCCTCAGTGGCCAACCCACCTGCCAGCGCAGGAGACTCAGATTTGACCCCTGGGTCAGGAAGATCCCCTGGAGGAGGAAATGATAACCCACTCCAGTATTCTTGCCTGGGAAATCCCATGGACAGAGGAGCCTGGCGGGCCTGCAGTCAGACGTGACTGAGGGACTGAACATGTGTGCCTCAATGTGACCCTGTAACTCAAGCTGTCGGCTTCTTAGTGTGTTCTGCTGATCCCCAGACTGCCACACGAGGCTAGAAGGGGCAGCAGGGACTCGATACGTCACCCACCACCTCTGCTAAACAACAGCTTAGGGGCATCAAACGATGGGGTTGGGTGTGTGGGGAGGGGTGCATATGTATGCACACAACGGTGGCAACATTCAAATACATGAAAACCAAGTTTCAGGGCATGTTGTGGGACAATTTTGTGTGTGTTCTGTTTGAAGAAAGATCTGGATTTAAAACTGCAAATTATATGACTTTTTTTTTTTTCTTTCAGGACCTGGTGTGAACTATTCAGGGTGTCAGATCACATGGGCTAAATTTTGCAAAGTAAGCCACCGTGTGAACTCCATCCATGAGGCTGCCCCATAGGAGGAGGAGGGGGCAGGGACATTTAGCTGTGGGGATGTCGTGGAGTGCACTGGGCCTGAACGCCCCGGACTCTCGGTCTGGCGGCCAGGAGGACCTGCCTGAGGGTAGATGGGCTTGAGGATTTTGGTGGTACCTCACCCCCTTGAAGGAAGAGCGCAGGAAGGTAGCGGACCGAGCTTTCCCATTACTCTTCTCTCCAGGAAAACATGGCTGGCAAGGGCTTCTCCTTCTGGGTCTGGCTGGACAACATCATTGACCTGGTGAAAAAGTACATCCTAGCCCTTTGGAACGAAGGGTAGGTTGGAACTCTTGTGTCTGACAGAACACACAGGGGTGACAAGGCCCCCACTCTCCCAGCAGGCCAGCCGCAACACAGGGGTCCCTCAGCCCCAACCTGCTGTTGCTCCTCTCTATCTCCAGGTATATAATGGGCTTCATCAGCAAGGAGAGGGAACGGGCCATCTTGAGCACTAAGCCCCCAGGCACCTTCCTGCTGAGATTCAGTGAAAGCAGCAAAGAAGGAGGCGTCACCTTCACCTGGGTGGAGAAGGACATCAGCGGTAAGCTTGGCGATTCCCCACCCCAACTGGTGGCCAACACTGCTGTGGCTGGCCATGGCTGCTGCTAGTTTTGGGCACCTGCTGCCCCCTTGTGGGCAGGGATGGCCTCGCGTTCCCCTGCCTTAGACTTGGAAGTTACTTGGTGATCATTTTTATGAGATGGGAAGACTTGGCTTCTCTAAGTTCTTCCAGCTGGAGGATTGGTTTGCCAGTTTTATTTTGCTCCCCACAGGGGGCTAATATTTGCCTAGAAATTGGCAATTTTTTTTTGAAATTTGTAATTTAAATTGTATTCTTCATCTCCTTTCTTACCCACTCTGTTCATATATCTTATAAAAGTAATTATTCAAGTGTGTTACTTGTGGCCCAGCTGAATAGCTTCTCCCGAAGCCAGCTGAACATTTTCACAGTGCCAGGCAACTGGGCAGAATATTCAGGGTCTCGAACACTAGGTTGGCATAAGCTTTTCCCCCTCAAGGGAAAATCAATAAGGTAGTCTTCTCTAAGATCACCTGAGTCTTCTCTTCCCATATCCCATGACAGGTAAGACCCAGATCCAGTCAGTGGAACCTTATACCAAACAGCAGCTGAACAACATGTCATTTGCTGAAATCATCATGGGCTATAAGATCATGGATGCCACCAATATCCTGGTGTCTCCGCTGGTCTATCTCTACCCTGACATTCCAAAGGAGGAGGCGTTCGGAAAGTACTGTCGGCCGGAGAGCCAGGAGCATCCCGAAGCTGACCCAGGTAGTTGTTGATTTTCCACAACAGCCCCTTGGTTCTGGGGAGAAGTGGGAAATTGTAGGATCCTTGTGGGACAGTTAAGGTAAATGCCTGAAGAACCTGGTGATCTTTTTTTTTTTTTCTTTCTTTTCAAGGAATTTTCTTTTTATAATTTTTATTTATTTATTTTTATTTTTGGCTGTGCTGGGTTTTCATTGCTGGATGGGCTTTTCTATAGTTGGGGCAAGCGGGGGCTACTCTCTACTTGCATGCGTGGGCTTCTCATTGCAGTGGCTTCTCTTGTTACAGAGCACAGGCTCTAGGCACACAGGCTTCAGTTGTTGGGGCAGGTGGGCTTGGTAGCTGCAGTTCCCAGGCTCGAGAGCCACAGGCTCAATGGTTGTGGCACACGGGCTTCATTAGTCCGAGGCATGTGGAGTCTTCCCGGACCAGGGATCAAACCCGTGTCTCCTGTGTTGACAGGCAGATTCTTTACCACTGAGCTACCAGGAAAGCCCAGTCTGGTGACCTTTATTCCTCTTTCTGGGAAAGAACTTGATAGTGAGTGCCTTTAGGGGCAGCTGATGGGGTTAGAGAGAGGAGAGGAATCAGTCACCAGGCTCCGACCCACTGGAGGCACCAGTCTAAAGGGGAAAACAGCTCACACACACCCAGACGTACCTAAGACACCATGAAGAGAAAGCGAGGGCGGAATTCTCTAGAAACAGGATGCCCAGCCAGCACAGCACTTCTTGCAAAGCATATGCTGGAAGGTTTGCGACTCAGACTTCAGTCTAGAGCGTTTCCTTTCCCCATCACTGAACAATATAAGCAGCCCAAGTGGGATGAAGAAAGGCTTTCTGGAGGAAATGAGTGTTAGCCACGCTGGAACATGGTTTACGAGAGAGTCTCAGGAGAGTGGAGATTGAAGGAGAAGACGGTAACTGGTGGGAGGGGCCTGGGCTTGGTGCTTTGAATGTGCAGCTGCTGAAACTCAGGTTTTTTAGTGTACTCCAGCCCATGTGCTTATGTAAGTTACACATGCATTTCTCATACTAAACCTTCACTCTCTGCTGCCGTCACCAGCATGGAGGCCGCAGCCCTCTAGCCTGTTCCCATGGGCGTTTGGGGCTCAGGCTCATGGTTCTCTGGCCAGATCCTGAGGAGGAGACTGGAATTTGCCATGCTTTATTTTTATTGAACTTTCCTTGGTCATAGAATCAGCAAGGGTTTAAAATGATCCTTTGAGTTGGCCTCCCTACCCTAACTGCTTTGGGAAAAAAAATCTTTTTTTTTTGAACAAATAGCTCCCTCACACAAACCCACCAGCTGCCTTCATACACTTTTACAGTAATTCCCTGTGAGGGATTTCTGGGTGTGAGCAGATTGAGACTTGGAAGAGGGAGTTGGGGCTCACTAGCAACTGACTTTCCTTTCTCCTTTGTTCTGGGTTGAGTCTTGGTCACACTCTAGGCGAGCATAACTCTCATTTCCTGTCTGCTACTTATCTCTCTTTCCACGTTGTGCTTCGGTTGGGAGATCTGTTTATCAGCCCCCGTCACACTGCCCTGTTCCTTCTGCGGAAGGCAATTAGGTCCAAGTGCTGGGCCCTCGACTCATTTCGCCTTCAAGGTCCAAGTTCCTGGTCTGAGGCTGCACCCTCCCTCACGGCTCCTGTGTGAGCAGGAGGCCAGGCCTTTTCCTGCCTGGGGACTCAGTGTTTCCTCAGGGGCAAGACGCCAGTCATGAAATAGAACTGATTACTCAAGAGCTTTGTCTGTCTCCTGGGGCAGCAGGAGCCTGGTGATGGCGTCAGGGGGTGTGGGGGAGGCCGGTGAGCGACCTGTGGGTTCCTCCAGAGTGGAGCAGCTGACTGTTTCCTCTCTGTTCCCATCCTGAAGGTTTTATTGTCTCTAGGAGATGGCTTATCTTCCCAGGACTCTTCCCTCCTCCTTTCTTAGAAGCTCACATTATTTCCTCGTGGCTTGAGGGAAAGATTCCTCTGTAGAAATGACAGATCTCTTATCTTACAAATTAGATGAAGTACATTTACAACCTTGCACAGAGCCATAACTCAACTTTTAATCTTTGTTCTCCTTTGCTTCTACTGTGGCATCTCAGAGCTGTTTTTCTCAGCAACGTTGATCACTTGGGAGAATTGAAACCCTTTTGTGTTTGGGAGTCAGCTGGAGTCAGCTCCCCTCAAGCCTGGGCTCAAAATGATTCATAAGACACCAGAACCCTGCTGCTACTGCTTCTTTGGATTCTGTACTGAGTTAATCTATTTCTTGGCCCCAAAGATGGCAGTGCCCTTTCTCAGATTGTCCTCATTCTTTCTGATCCCTCAGTTTCTCTGTAAGCCCCAAGCTTTCCAGCCATGCTTTTCCTGGGCACCACCCCCCAACCCTTCCTAAGCAATCTGCTCACTTGAATCCCCCAAATTCCATGCCAGTGTCTCTGGGCCCCTTGACCTCTTGGCATAAGCATTTAGCAGTTAAAATTCTTAAATCTTCATGTTTCTAACTATAGAAGAAGAATCACAAATGACAAAGATGGGCCCCTCCATCCTCTGCCTCCCTCTCATTTTATTATTATCTTGTAAATATAATTAATTTAAAATTTTTTTTTAAATTAACTTTTGGGGGCCACCCCAACACCATATGTGGGATTTTAGTTGCCCGATCAGGGATGGAACCCAAACTCACTGCACTGGAAGCATGTTTTAAAGATGTAACGAGGCCCCAGCCTCCTATCTCCAAGTCCAAAGCCAGTTGTACTGCACTGGAGACATTCTCCCCATGGAGAGGCTCTTATCTGTGATGTAGTTATCTAATGGGGAGTACTGATATCCTCACTGAAAGATGTAACAGGCAGATCAGTGCTAAAGGGAATAGAAGGTGTCACCCTCAGCTTTGGAACTGCATTAGCCACTTCTATGTTTTCGTAAAGACCCCGTGACTTCAGTGTCTGAGCAGGACGTGGTGCCCAACTGGGTGGGCTCAGTCCTTCCTGCAGGGAACTCATCTAAGAGGTACAACCAGGCCAGGTTACAATCCTCAGTTCATATACAGGCAGTGAAACTCTTCACCCTGATCTAGGGGAAGAATGAACACCAGGCTGGCACTCGTCTGAGCTCATGTGAGTCTGCTGAAAAGCTTTAGGGCAAGAACTGAGCTTCCAGCTGCAAGCGCTGGAACATCAGAGTCTACCGTGAGGGGGAGGACAGCCCAGTGGGAGATGGAGCTTCCTTCAGATCATCTCTGCTCAGGGATCGAGTGAGCTTCACATCAGCCCTGGGGAGGCAGCCAGCTTCCCCCGGTCCGGTACCCAGAGTGGGAATCACAGTCGCTAAGGCGGAATTTTCCTCTCCCCAGGTGCTGCCCCATACCTGAAGACCAAGTTCATCTGTGTGACACCGTAAGTGGCTTCCCTTCCCAAGTTTGCCTCCATCTCTAATGTCCTCAGTTATCCCTGGGAACAGGACAGTGGGTGAGAGTTCTCTTGTGAAGCAGGGTTGGAGCCCTCTGAGTACGTTCAGTCCTCACTGAGACCCACAGTGACCTCGTGTGTTTAAAAAGCTTGAGCTTTTATTTTTTCTGTTGGAGACCAGAGTTTGATGGCTTGTGTGTGTGTGTTTTGTTTTTTTTTTTTCCTCCATTGTGTCTTGTCAACCCGACCCTTCCCCCTCCTGCTGCTTCCCCTTTCCTACAGAACGACCTGCAGCAATACCATTGACCTGCCGATGTCCCCCCGCACTTTAGATTCATTGATGCAGTTTGGAAATAATGGTGAAGCTGCTGAGCCCTCAGCAGGAGGGCAGTTTGGTGAGTATGGGGTTGCTGGACTGGCCCCCTGAGCTGATGCTCCCATGTACAGAACCAGCCGAGGGCCACCCAGATAGGCAGGAGGAGTTCTCGAGCAGCACTTTCCTATAGAAATGCAGTCCCTGTGCCAGTGTAATTTTCTAGGAGCCAGGTTAAAAAGCAGTGGAAAGGAACAGGTGAGGTTAACTGTACAAATGTATTTTCTTTAGCCCAGCAAATCCAAAATAGTAGCATTTCTGTGTATTAGGAAAAAAGGAATGTATGACATCGCTGGTGGTCCAGGGGTTAGGACTTTGAGCTTCCACTGCAGGGAGCCTGGGTTCGACCCCTGGTCAGGGAACTAAGATCCCACAAGGCAATTGGCTTGGCCATAATATTGAAAACATAAACAGTATATATATTATGATTAAAACATTAAAAGTATACAGATACGGCTACCGTATGACCCAGCAATCTCCCTGCTGGACATATACCCTGAGAAAATCATAATTTAAAAAGACACATGTACCCCAGTGTTTGTAGCAGCACTATTTAAAATAGCCAGGACATGGAAGCAACCTAGATGTCCATACACATTTGAATAGATAGAGCAGTTGTGGTATGTACATAGGTGCATACAAATATGTGTGTATGCAGTGGACTCACCCATAAAAAAGAATGCATCTGAGTCAATTCCAGTGAGGTAGATGAACCTAGAGCCTGTTATACAGAGTGAAGAAAGTCAGAGAAAAACAAGTTTTGTATATTCACATGAATATAATTTCATATATATGGAATCTAGAAAAACAGTCCTAATAAACCTATTTGCAGGGCAGACAGAGAGAACAGACTTTGGACACAGCGGGGGAAGGAGAGGCTGGGACGAACTGAGAGAGTAGCGTTGACATGCCTCCTTTACCGTCTGTAAAGTAGACAGCCAGTGGGCAGCTGCCAGGGAGCTGGTGGTCAGGGAGCTGACCACCCAGAGGGGTGGGTGCCCTTTCAGAAGGCAAGACCCTGTTGGGAGGGGAAAGAACGTGGATTCTCTACCCCTTCTTGACGACTGAGGGGCAGGGGCAGGAGACTGGATGGCAGTGGTGGTCTGAGCCCCTGTGCCCCTGAAAGCTAGGGCTGTGTGCCCTGCCTGCTGTAGGACCCAGGCGATTGAACTGGCTCTCCCCGTGTGTGTCCCCCTCTGCCAGAGTCCCTCACGTTTGACATGGAGCTGACCTCGGAGTGCGCTACCTCCCCCATGTGAGGAGCCGAGGACGGAAGCTGCAGAGAGAGATGACGGATGTACCAACCCATGTTCCACCAGCCCTTACACAGCCCAAGCCCAGATCAACTCAGCTCCCAACTTTGTGGTTCCAGATTTTTTTTTTTTTCCATCTCTCACTTTAGCTATCTCTGAGCAATCTGGGCACTTTTTTAAAATAGAGAAATGAATGAATGTGGGTGATATGCTTTTATCTACATGCAAATAAGAATACGCTCTCCACGACTGTGATCAGGGGATGTGGAAGGGGCGGCGAGAGGGAGAAAGAGGAAACATCTTTTTTTGCTCTCCTCCTCCGCCCCCCGGCCTCCTTTCTCAGCAGCTTGTTGTTGTCATTGTAAGTCAAGTGCCTCCTGGTGCCCACGGCACCCTTCTGCCTATTCTGTAAGCTGATGCCACGGGCTGCCTCTCGCTGCATCCTCCTGGCACCACACTTTCAACCTTGCTAACGCCCAGATAGATGCTAGGACTTTCAAAGCCCCTAGGTTTCTTCTTAATCTTAAGTAATTTTTTTAAAGGGCAAAAGACCCTGACTATATTGGCATAGCTTCCTCTGTATTTAAGAAAACTCAGTTAATTTCCTCCTTGGTGCTTCAGGTATTCAGCTTTCTTCAGGCCGATAATTTATATAACCCCTGACATGAATTTTAGATCCAACCCTTAAAAGATATCTGAAGATGCCTTTGGCTTGAAATAGGAAGGTTGAAGGAGACCCTAAATATTTTAGACTTTTTTTTTTTTTAAATAAAGTTTTTATTTCCCCCTTTAGCATGTTGGCCTGTTTGTAGGTAAGGCTGGGCAGAGGGGCACTTACAACCTGATCTTTCTCTCTCCCTGGGCTTCTCCTGTTGCCAAGTGTGGGTGGGTGCCCTAGAAGGGACAGGACAATTCTTCCTTTTCCCATCGACCTGAGCCCCTCTGCTGGGTGACTCCTTCCAGTGTCTAAAGGTCCCTTGTCCTGTTTGCTTTATGCACCTGGTCTTGCGACCTTTTCGGATAAGAGGGAGACAGTTACAGGTTGAACATGAGTCAGACTACAGACCCCCAGTCAAGGGTCTAGTTGAGCTCAGGGAATATGATTCTTATCCCGGTTTCTTGGAGATTTCCTGCTGCCCCTGTAATCACTTCTTCACTCTGTCAAGCCAGGGGCAAAGGCTTAGTGATAAGCTCGGGGTCCGTCTGTTGTGTGAGGGAGTGTATATTCCCACCTCCCCCTAGCACTGGTGACTGTCTCCTCCCCATAGGGGCCCCACAATTAGGCAGGACAGCTGCATGTACTGTGCATCTCAGAACACAGGTAGCATGGGGGATGGTCTCTGATGTGGGGCCTCTCAGACCCAGAAGCACGGCTCGATTGGGTTGGCTACAGCCGCCTTGTTTCAGCTGACCAGAGTTTCTAGGGATGCTATGTGTTACACCCAAATTCACCAGTTTTTGAAGGGGATAAGCTCTCCGAGACAAACAGGGGTTGACAGGTAATGCAGAGAGATTCCCCTCCGACTCTCTAGATGGAAATAAGCTTAACGTGAGGGACCTGGGGCAAGAATCTGGGCTTTGCTGGAGCAGAAATCGTAAAACCCGTGGGTTTTAGGTCATGTGAATATCTGGTTTTAACCCTGATTTTAGCAAAAGCCCTGAAAGAAGCTGAGACCCTCCCTTAAAGAACCCCATCCTCCAGGACCTGCCTGCATTCTCTCTGCCAGCCCCCTGTCCAGCCAAGGGATTCCCAAGGATGCCTAACCTACCCCCAGGGTGGTTTGTGAGATGCTGCCCTGGCCACTGCATTCAAATTCCAATGTATACTTACTTAATAGTGTAAAAATTTATATTATTATGTTGTGTGTGGTTTTTTTTTTTTTTTTTTTGTATATTGCTGTATCTACTTTAACTTTCAGAAATAAAAGTTATATAGCAACCCTCCCATAGCATGGCAGTTCTGTGTCTGGCTGGGGGTTGGGTGGAGAGGGGAGTCCCTCTTCCCCTGCTTCAGTTCTGAGGGGCCTCATAGGCTGAGCCTGGGTCTTGCAAGATGGTGGCTGCCCCATTCCTGGGCTGGTGGTCTTAGCTTCTCATGCTGGAGCTGATGGGGCCCACCTCTGGAGCACGGAGCATCTCCCCTGCGCCCCATCTTACATTAGGCACCAGGTACCCGGAGGAGCCAGGGGTCCTACTCCGTGCACAAAGGCTGCAGAGTGAGGCCTCCTGTCACCCCCTTCCTACCTCCCTCCTCTCTGTGCCCTCCCTCCCTTCCGGGGCCTTCACAAGCCGCGGTGTCCTGTCTGGGGTCAGATAAGCCACCTCAGGGGGTTGGGGGGCAGACACTCCCACCCCTAGGCCTCTTCTTCCACAGTTGGTTCCATTATCACTTTCTCTTCAGTTTGTTCCACGGGGACGATCGTCAACACTCAACGGGCCCCGGGCCGTGGGCGGTGATAACTCACAGACCGAGGCGCCCACTAGCCTGGCGCCCCCGCCCCCGCCCCCGGCGCCGAGCACCATGGAGACGAGCCGGTGCGGGAGATACTCGCGCCTCCCCGGTAGAGATGCGGCTGCAGATTAGCTGCGATCCCGGCTCTGCGGCTGCCTCCCCTCCCGCCCACCCCCTCCAGCTCCGCGCCGGGCTCCTGCGCCTCTCCGGGTGGGCTGCGAGCCCCTCTTCCCTTGCTTTGAGCCCCGAAGAAACCTTGTCGTAGGCCCTTGCTCCCTAGCCCCCAGGCCCTGGCGACAGTCCCTGGACTCTCGGTGCCTATGGGACCAAATGGGGAGACCATCCCAGCCTCAAATCAACAGCTTGAAAATGCAGTGGCAGTGGAATGGTGCCACCTGCTGGTCTCTGGGAAGGGACCCGGGGAGGAGGGACTGTGGTGAGGCTCCTGCAGCGCCTCCTTCTCCATCCTCCATCCAGCGGGGTTGCCGGCCTGGTTGAGAATGGTGGGCACTGGCCCTCAGCTGCCACCCTCCAGACTGCTTATAGCAGCAGCTGATAAGAGCAGGAGGCGGGGACCAAAGTTCTCCCCTGCTCCCAGTAATTGCTGTCCTGGATTTTCCCAAGACCTCAAGTTCTGTAGTCTTCTGAGAGGCACTGGAAGTATTGGGGCGGGGCATGGTGGTGGAGCGTGGCGCCCTTAAAACCACAGAAAAGGGAGCAGATTGGTAGCTTCAGGCTACAGGTTACAGCACCAGCTATGCAGGAGGAAAGGAACAAGAGGACTCCAGCAGTTCCCATGACCCAGGAGCCATACCAGCAAATTTACAAAAAAAAAGAAAAAATTTTTATTCAAAAACTGTTTACACAAATGTGTAGCCTATGTACAAAGTACAAAAGAATCCTGTTCCTTGAGAGATGTTTCAACTTGGGACCCCTTCCAGGACTCCGGCTGTCAGCTGCCCTGGGGCTGCCTGTGGGCGGCAGCTTCAGAGGGAGGGGCCTTCTCAGACCACAGTCAGTTATGCAACTTCGAAGAGGCCCTATTCCAAGTTCCCCCTCCCAGCAGAGTGGAGGCCATCAGCTTTTACCCCTCCCTCCTCCAGACTCCACAGGCGCACATTAAGTCGCTGGTGCTGCCTCTTGCTGCAGGTTTTTTCCAGGAGAGGGGATCAACCTGCAAGCTCTGGACCTCTTTCCCCTTCCCCCAACTTCTTCCACATTGAGCAAGGTTGCAGACAGAGAGGCGAGGAAAGAAGCCTGGGGCCAGATGGAGGGAATGGGATTGGGGTCGGGGAATGAAGAGCAGGAATGTGGGCAGCAGCGTTATAGACACGAAGCCGGAGCCCCCTGGCGGGGGGCCAAGAGGCCAGGAAACTCCAGGCCCGAGGCAAAAGACCCCTTTCTGCTGTGTTTAGGGACATAACCACAGCCTAGATAAGCTCTCAGTTCACAAAAACTCTGGAGTCCCTATTCATGAGATAAAGTATAAAATATCACTCATCACCTCCCTCCTGAGGGGCAGAATCAAAAGACCAACACTGTACTGGAGCAGATCCACGCACACAATTGGGAGGCGAAGCTGCTAACTCAGGAATAAAACGAGCTTAGAGACATTACCTGTCTCCTTTCCCTTCGCAAATAATTCCATTCAAGCAGCTGCTGAGCAGACTTAAGGCTCTGGCAGGAATAGGTCTGCCTGCCTGGCGTACCTGTGACCACAGAAGCAGCTTGGTCTCTCCCACACAGACAGACCCAGTGAGCGCTTGGAATGCCTTCATCTGAAGAAGAACAAGGTGGCCGCACACCTAGGGCTGCAGAGGCGAGGTGGGCACACCTCGTACACACGCGCGCACATCTATACGTGTACGTGGGCTGCCTGCAAAGGCATCAGTATGCACAGCGATACAAACACAAAACCACAATGAATAGGACCCTGTACACTAGGGATTGTTTCCACAGAGGAGTGCAGTGTTCGAACAAACATTCAGGACAGCGAGCCTCTGGCGGGGGTGAAGAGACCAGTGGGCGTGGGGAGAGAGGGGTCCAGACTGTCCATTGGGCGGCGGAGGAGTTCTTCTACGTGCCGGGCCACATCCATGGTCTCGTCCAGGTCGAATTCTCCATCCTGGTCGAGCACTGGGTCAGGGCTGGGAGGGGGAGAGGGGTGTCAGAAGGAGCTGGCCTGCCGAAGAGTCCCAGGCTCCCCGGGGACAGCGCCCAGCCTGATCCCCATTCAGTCTCCTGGGAACAGGACCTGCTCTGGCTAGATGCCCGCACCGCCAAGCTGAATCAGTCACTGGTTTGTTGGAAAACACTCCGGTTCTAGTCTCATCACTCACAAGCTCATCGAGTAATCTCAGGGAATTCATTTCCCCTGTCCCTGCCCTCCTCTGTAAAACGAGGTGGTTGGGTAAAGGAGCTCTGCCCGTGAGATCTCAGGCACCAGACACTGAGCACCTATGAAGGCCTGGTCCTTTCAACCACGTGAAGCCAATCCCCACAGCCACTGGTAAGGTGGGTATTTACTCCAATTTATAGAGGAAGAAACTGAGGCTCGACTATGGTAGGAAGCTTGTTCAGGGCCACCTGGTAGGCAAGTGGAGTCAGGACTGGAATTCCAGTTTTTGTGACTCCCAAGCCTGTGGTCGTCCCATGGCAGCAGGCCACCCCTGGCTTGAAAGAGAATGAATCCCCTTCTCTGGGAACTTCAGAGAGGAGCGACATGTCCTATTCCCACACGACTCCTAAGAAGCACCACCCAACCAGAGATACTCTGTATCAAGCCCTTGCAACAACCTCACTTGTGCTAAATGTTACCTGCATTCTCTGGCTTGACCCTGACCCCAGTCCCATGTGGTAAGTATTCTTGCCTCCATTTTACAGATAAGGAAACTGAGCATCAGAGAGGCTCGATGATTTTCCCAAGGTCACACAGCTAGTCAACACCAGAGCAAGGGCCCTGCTATGTGTAGTTTGACAATGCTCTACGCTCCTGGTTGGCTGATCTCATCCACCCTGCACCTGGGCCTATGCCCAAGCCCGCCTGCCCTGGGTGGTCTCGGATGGAGAGGAGCTCTAGTGTCCTTGCCCATCAGCCCTCTGGGGTTTACCAGTCTGAGGCCGGGTGCCCAGTTCCTCCCCCCGGAGCCCTATGAGAACACAACCTACTTCTGTGGGTACATGTTATAGTGAGGCTGGGGGCACACGGCTGGGGAAGGAGCCTGGTCCATGTAGGTGGCGCTGCCTCCGGCAGAGTCTGCAGAGGCACTCACAAACCTGTGGGAGAAAGCGGAGCCTCAGCGGGGAGGGGCTCGGGGGCATCTTCTGTCTTTCTCAGGTGTGGAAGGACCACGCGGCCCACTCAGCCTGGAGCTCCGGCTGCAGGGGCGGGGCCCTGGGTACCCGCCCCCTTGTGACCACGTCCACTTCCCCTCCCCAAGGCTGGGCCGGGTTGGGGGGGAAGGGAACAGGAGGGGAGGCAGTGGGTGGGGGGGGGTGTGTGTGTGAGGAGAGCCAGGTGAGGGTGGGGGAAGGAAAGAAGAGGCAGCAGGAGACCAGAGCCTAACCGGACACTTACTCAGGGACCACTTGCTTGATCTGTGGCTTCACGTATCCATCCACTGCTTTAGCTGCCGAAGGGGGAAGATGGTGATGAGAACCAAAGTCCCTGGGAGCTCCCAGGGGAGTAGACACCCACCTATGCAGTCGGCCTCCTCCTCCCCACTCCCCACAACACCACAGGGCTCATCAGGGATAAGATTTCCCAGACTCCCATTAAACACCTGCTGACAGTCACCAGGTGACCCCCCCCACCCCCGCCCCAGACCCCTGGTTTCAGTCTCATCCCATCTCCTGCTTTCTTTCCTGGCCCTTGGTTTCCTCTCTTCCTGCCCTCACCCCTGCCAAGGAAACAGTCCACACCGAGGAACAAACCCAACTAATGGAGTGGGGCCAGGTTGAAGAGAAAAAAACCTGTCCATTTTGCTCCCTACCCTCAACTGTGAGGGCAGGTTTGAGGGTGGAGAGGGGTGAGGGCAGCTGATTAAGATGGGGGAGGCGTGCATTATCTGCGGGTCTGTGTGATCCCGCTCCTCCCCCAACACCGCAGCCGCCGCCTCCTCCAAGGGCACAGAAGGGAGTCCACTCAGCCTTTTGCTTTGCAGGGAAGAAAGTGAGGTTGGGGTTTCCACTTTCCAAACTCTCTTCAGCGGTGAGCTCTGAAATCCCCTCCAGGTGCCTCCTGCCATCCCACGGACCAGCACTCACAGGGGAGATGGCCCCTGGGCCCTTCCTGCTTAGCCCCGGGAGTGTGTTGGGGATGTGTCGGGCACACGCACCGAGCACAGGTGTGTAGTACTTGGAGAAGACCTCATCCTTGGGCCGGTCAGGAAATACGTAGATGAGATAGTTCAGGTCCCCCAAACGGTCAGCCAGGGATCGGATGGAGAAATCCCGTGTGGTGAATGGCTTCAGATTCCACAGGTTACGGTCAGCTGTGAAAAGGCCGAGCTCATTCTCACAGCCCGCCGCCCTCAGGAAGAGGATTGGAACTGTAGGGCTGGGGGCCAGGCTTGTAGAGACATCCAGGTAAAAGCCTGCACTGCAACCCCACCCCTGCTATCAGCACAGGGCAAGGAAGTGACCACGGGCGAACAGATACCAACAAGTCTGGGTCAGGACAAAGAAGGACTCGCTCAGCAGTTCTGGAGGCTATGGGGGGTAGTGATGTTAAGTTCTTCCAAGAGGAAAACAATAGAAAGGGACTGGGTTTTTGAGCAACACTCCACCCACCCTCCAAGCTCAGTTCCCGTCTTTCCCACCGGACCCCTTCTAAGGATACAGGCCTGATGGAGAATGGGAATGAGGAAATGACAAACAGAGCCACTGGGGCGGGAATGTGGGCAATGCAGGGAACTCACGAGAGTCAAACTTCCAGGCAATGGTGATGCCCCCAATTTCTGAGTCACTAAAGCGCAACAAGAAGGTACCATCGGGCTTGTTGATGAGCAGGTCATGGGCCTGTTGCTTGTTCACAAAACCTAGGATGGCCCTGGGTGCACGGAGCACACAGTCACTGCTGGGCCACCAGCCACTGTCCCGTGAGCCCCTGACCTCCCACCCCCGTGCCTCACCCGTCATTCCAATGGGGCTTGTGATGTTTCTTCAGCACCTCCATGACCCCGTCGAACCACTGCCAGAAGGTGTAGTTCCAGCCGGGCAAGTTCTCCTGAGAGTCCCCAGGAAACCCCAGGTTAGGGCTTATGTCCCCATCATCACAGGTGCTCCAGGGAGCACTTAGTGCCCCGTGTCCTCACCCAGTGCCCGTGTGCCAAGTCGCTTCAGTCGTGCCTCTTTGTGACCCTATGGACTGTAGCCCACCAGCCTCCTCTCCGTGGGATTTTCCAGGCAAGAATAGTGGAGTGGGTTGCCATGCCCTCCTCCAGGGGATCTTCCCAACGCAGGGATCGAACCCATGTCTCTTTTGTCTCCTGCATTGGCAGGCAGGTTCTTCACCACTAGCGCCACCTGGGAAGCCCATCCTCTCAGACACAGGGATCTGAGACAATCCCATGGAGGGGGTCAAAGGTGCAAGGAATTGTCCAAGCTGGATGAGACCTCCAAAGTCCTTCCTGCCCAACCCCTTCATTCTACAGATGGGAAAAGTGCAATGCAGAGAAGGGAAGGGGCCTGGCAAATGAGTTAACATATTGAGGACGAGAACCTGGGGACCCTGACTTCCAGCTCCGGGTTCTTTCCAAAGTCCTGCCTCAGATCTCATGGCTGTCTGCACTCCTTGGGGTACCAGCCCCCATCTCTCCTGGTTGTAGGAGAGGGGTCTGGGGGTGGAGGGGGGGCCATGGACCAGGTGCCTGTCTGTGAGGTGGGGGAGGGGTGGAGGTAGTCCCAGGCAGGCAGTGGGCAACGCGTCCCTCACCCGGTTGAACTGGGACCAGGACACGGACATGCCGCTATAGTCCTCGAGGTGGCTGCTGCTGCTGTTGAACAGCTTCTGCGCCAGGAACACCAGGTTCTCCTTGGTCAGGCCCCGGTTGCTCTGCACCTCGGCCTTGAATTTCATGTTGAGCGCCTCGCACAGCTGCGGCCACAGGACTTTGTCGGGCACCGCAAACGGAACCCTGCCCTGAGGGGGAGAGAAGAAATGGGAAAAGATTGAGGGAGTAGGAGATATTTACACACACGCACACACACACAGATATCAAGAGGCAGAGGGGAGTGAGAAAGATCCAGGAAAGGAGACAAAAGCACAGTGGAAAGAAAGCGGGGCACGGGGGCAGAGGGATGGGTATATAGGGGTAGAGACCCAGACCAGGGCCCTGGGAGCAGAGATCAGGGGCCAGATTCCAAGCACCAAGCTCACAGACCTAGGAGACCCCAATCCCGTGACCCGGAGCCCAGACAGAGCTGAGGTTGTGCTGAGGGCAGGGTGCTCACACCAGCTGCCCCCTGACCACTGGTTTGGCCCAAGGGTGGGAGAAGACCACTCAGCAGGAGCCCTGGGGTTGGGGCTGACCCTGGGAACCTCTGAGGGGCTGGGGGCTGAGGTGGGGGGTCCCGTGGGGACTCACCGGCTCAGCAAAGGCATTGTCCCACAGCACGGTGGCGGTAGCATTATGGTCCTGGCTGCCGTGAACGATGACAACCACAGGAAGGGACAGGGTCTGTGGGAATCCAGGGAATGAGGGATGAGGGCATATGACCCTGGTCTTGCCCTCCACTTGGGGGAGGCACCCGACCGCCATTCCTCAAGCCCCTTCTGGCAAAGCCAACGCAGAAATAAAAAGCACAGCCTATCTCTTTTTGGTCCATTGCCTCAATCCTGTGGGTGGGTGCCAGGTTGCTGTGTGGTGCTCAGTCACTCAGTCTTGTCCTATTCTTTGCGACCCCATCAACTACAGCCCGCCAGGCTCCTCTGTCCATGGTGATTCACCAGGTAATACTGGAGTGGGTTAACCTACAGGGGATCTTCCCAACCTAGGGATCGAACCCAGGTGTCCCGCATTGCAGGCGGATTCTTTACCATCTGAGCCACCAGGGAAGCCCAGGTGCCAGATTACAACCTAGCAAATAAGCACCAGCAGAGTGAAATTAGGTTTTCTGAGAGCATCATGGGGTAACTGGACTGAGCGTATGCAAGGATTCCAGTCCCTGGCTTTCTCAAGTCAGCTGGGTGGCCTGCAGGGGACAGGGGAGCCAGGCCTTACCTTCACCTGGAACACAAGCTCATTACTGCCAACACTGAATTGAGACTCAAACAGGACCGTGAACTTCTCTTCCGTCACAGACTCTGCGCCTCGCCGGTCGGCTCGCTTGATCCTCTTGAGGGACTGCAGGGCGGGAGATCAGAAGGGGACAAGGAGAAGGCGCCAGGTTACGAGGACTCAGGACGCAGCTCTGGGCAGACCTCCCACCTTGGGCTGGGCCCCGTCCTCACCATGTTCCTGAAGTGGGCGCTCAGGGTGCCTGTGGCCTGGTGGTACTCCATCACACAGCAGTTGTTCAGGATCTCCCCGCTGCACTCACTGCCAAGCAGAGGGGAACCCGTCTCCACTGGCCCCGGGGCCTGGAGCACCGTCCTGTATGCATCCTGGGCCCCAGCTTCTCCGGAAGGCCCCACAGCAGCCCCTGACCCCTCCCCTAAGAGCATTCCTCTGGGCTGACTTTTCTCACCAACCTGAGAGCATCCGAGCAAAGCCCCAAGGGTGGAGCCAAGCTTAAACTTCCTTGGGCGTCAAGATTGACGTGGGGGCCTTTGGCAGCTTTTAGCCCACTTGACATAAAAATCATGACCCCAACCTAACAAGATCCCTGCCATCAACCTCTGCCCTGGCCTCAATGGGCTCCTCTCTCCTCATTCAGAACAAGCAAGCCCACAGTATCTTGTCTGTTTGCTGAACACTCAAGCTCAGTGCCGCCTGGGGACTCCTATCCTTGCCTTCCTGTTACATTCTTTTTTTTTTTTTAGTAATGCATTTTACACTTTGTTATTTTTCTAATTTTTTAAAAAGTTCTGGCTGTACTCCGAGGCATATGGGACCTTAGTTCCCCAACCGGGGATCTAACCCACACCCCCTGCATTGGAAGGTGGAGTCTTAACCAGTGGACCACCAGGCAAGTCCCCCTGTTGCATTCTTGACTTTCTCTTTCAGGTCTCCACTCAAATAGATCCTCAGAAAGGCCCTCCTCAGCCATCCATGTGCTGTTGCAACATCTATCCAGGCGCTGTGATATTGCTTGGCGTTAATTTTCTGTCTAGACTCTATTGCCTTTTGACGCTGCCTGATTTTTTAAAAGTATATGACTGTCTTGTTCCCAGCCCAAAGCAAGCTCTAAGAGAGTTAGAACTCCTCATCATTGTCGTCATCCTAGCCCCAGAGCACACAGCGGGTGTCAGTGCTCAGGACCTAGTCTCTCCTCTCACTCATTCCCGCCCTCCTTCATTCATTCCCACGCCCTTCACAGGTGGCCTAGCCTAATCCCAGGACCTCACCCCTGGGTTCTCCAGCCACACATGCCCTTTGTCTGCTCCTCCTTCAGACAGGCCCGTGTTCTCTCTGCCCGAACGTCTGCCCTCTCCACGCCTGTTCATCATCTCCTAGTCATCCCGCAGCCTTGAAACTAGCTGTCATTCTGTTCCACCCCCTTCATGACCCACTTTCATGGTGCCCGAGTCATCTCCCTTGTCACATGTCAGCAAGTAATCAATTCTCATGTCTGCTGCCTGCTGGCCTAAATGTTGGACCGTGATGTAGCCAAGTTTGGTGTGGATCACAGCAGTGTCCCAGTGCTTAGCACAGGTCCTGGGACACCCTAATAGTGAAATCCTTGTTGATTTACTCCGTGTGCAAGGAGTACGCCCAGACAGAGTGAACTGGAGAGACATGGGACCACATCACAATGCAAGACAAAGAGTGGGATGCCGTGTGTGTCCTCATTACCTAGGACCCCAGCTACAGAACAGAGGCTGAGCTGGGGGAGGGGCAGAGGAAGGAGGGACAACGTACTTGCGGGTGTTCTCGTTCTTGAGCAGTGACTTGGCCTGCTGCTCGCTGATGATGGTGGCCTTCACCTGGGGGGGGTTCATGTGCACGTTCAGCTTCCCGCCCACCAGCAGGCGCACAGTGGCCGCAAACTTGGTCTGGGTCTTCAGGACCTGAGGGGGCTGCTTCTCGATAATGAATGTGCTGTGGGGACAGGAGATGCTTCAGGGGACAGGACTCTGGCCTCACCTTCCACGTGGGGAGGCTGCCTTGCACCAAGCTGAGCAGGTGAAGGGAGGGCTTGGGGCACAGTCCACCCTCCCTGGAGGTCACTGTGAGTCGGGGGAGCTGGTGGGAAGGGAGGCAGTGAAAGGAGCTCAGCAGCTGAAATGAGTTGCAGGAGACAAATGCCTGTGTAGTGTCCATGAGAAATACTAGGTGAGGTCGACAGCAAGAGGCCATAGCACCAGGGGATGGAGAGGGATGGGGTGAGGGTGTGAGGCAGAGACAGAAAGATTTAACCCAGAGCTCCCCATCTGCAGGGCTTCCCTTGTGGCTCAGCTGGTAAAGAATCCACCCACAATGCGGGAGACTTGGGTTTGATCCCTGGGTTGGGAAGATTCCCCCAGAGAAGGGAAAGGCTACCCACTCCAGTATCCTGGCCTGGAAAATTCCATGGATGGTACAGTCCATGAGGTTGCAAAGTCAGATACTTCTGAGTGACTTTCACTTACCTACTTACTCCCCATCTGCAAAGACCCTGCTGCCCCCCACCCAGGGCAACCAGATGGGGTGGGGCGTGGCCAGGAGGCAGCAGTCACCTGGTCACCAGGGCTGAGATGATGTCAGTGATGGTGGCGTTGACCTCAGCCAGCATCTCCTCCACGGGGCCGGGGATGGGCAGCTGCTGGCAGAGGTGCTCGGCTCTGCGGATTTGCTGCCGGTTCTGCCAGATGATCTCCGCCAACTTCTCACACCTGAACGCGAGCCCCGGGGCCCAAGGGAAGAACACTGGCTTCACCCACATCCTCCCGCCCAGAAGCTGGCAGGCGCCCAGGCGGGGACCAGGCCCACACCCAGCTCCAGCCCCAGGAAGGCCTGGCACCCGAGCCACCTCGCCTATTCCCTGGGCACAGCAGAGATGCCTTGCCTTCCAGAAACCCAGAGAAACACCCAGGAGGAGCGATGCTGACTGGGGTCCAACCAGCCTGAGCATCACTTTGCCACCTGGCCCCACCCCAGCATCCAACCCAGTGACACCCCTCCCAGGGGAGGGGGCACAGGAAGGGAGACCAGCGTCAGCATCAAACCAGAACCACTGGTGGGATAAGACCCGTGCCCAGACAGAGGGAGCCAGCTGCTCGTGCAGACGTGGGAGCAAACAGCAGCTGGCAGCATCACTCTGAGCCCCTGCTGCCCCTCCCTGCCCCCCAACCCCGGTACCAGGACTGTAGCACATCCAGGCTGCCCTCAGGGGGACCGCCGTTCCCCGCCAGCTGCTGCCGCCGCTTCCACTGAATCAGCTCGTCATCCAGGATGATGGTCTGCTGCTTCCGCAGCAGCTGCAGGGTCTTCTGGTGCTTCTCGGCCAGCTCCTGAGGGTCGGGCGGTGGCTCAGAGGGCCCTTCTGGGCTCTCAGAACAGCCCTGCAGGGCCTCCTCCTCCCAGACAGACTCTGCCCCTCAGGCCCCGCGGGGAAGAAGGCCCTGGCCTCCTGCCCCGCCGGGTCCCGCTCTCCTCCTGGCTCTCTGCCTCCCTCGGGGTCCCCGGGACAGCTCGGGGCGTCACCGCCCCCGCGGGAGGGCAGGGATGCAGAGCCCACTCACCACGCGGTACTGCTGCAGCGTCTGGGCCTCGCGCTGCAGCCAGGCCTCCAGGGACACCTGCTTCTGCTGGAGGGCCGTCTCCCGGCTCAGTCGCTCCTGGGGGTTCAGCTGGGCCAGCTGGGCAAATTGAGCTGGAGGAGGGGACAGGACACCACGACCATGACCTCCCGGGGCCAGCCGGGGGCCCATCTGTTCTGGAGGCAAGACCCGCGAGGGGACAGGTCTGACCCACGGCCAGTCGGGCTCCACAGCAACGGGGCCAGAGATGAGAAGGCTCTGGCCCCTGTGCCCTGACTCAGCTCCCCTCGGGGAGTGGGGAGATGGAAGCCTGGGGGACAGCTGAGGAGGAGCCTGCCCTGGCCAAGCCCCATCAGCCCTCCTCACCCCATGTGGGGTCTGGCTTGGAGCCACCGTGTCTGGTCTGAAGTGAACCCCGCCATTCACCAGGTGGGTGAACTCAGGCAAGTCACCCCACTCTCCTATGCCTCAGTTTCCCCACCTGTAAAAGGGGAGTCTCACGAGGCATCTACCTCAGCAGCTGCTGGGAGGTTAAGTAAGTGACGAGACAGAAAATGCTCAGGAAGCTGCCCGGCACCATTGGCCCCAGAGGGAAGTCAGTCATGGTTAATGGGTTACATGAGGGGATGAAAGGCTGACGGAGCAGCTCTCAGCTCCAACCTCACGGGCACAGCCTCGTCAGAAGGCTCTGCTCCACGGGCTTTGTCCTGTCTCCCAGGCTCGGCAGCCTCTCCTCAGGGAAGGGGGGTTTCTTCAGGCGGTGAAGGTCCCTAACATGCTCATCCAGGTTGGTCACTGCGAGCTCAGCTGACCAACCAGAAGAGAGACACAGAGAGAGCTGGGGCCACTGGGACACGAGGCAGTGAGATTCTCTCAGGAGGGCGAGGCAGTTTCTCTCCACACCAGCTCTCAGGCAGCTCATCAATGGCAGGAATATGTAACCAGGCCTCACCGACTCCCTCTGCAAACAACCTGTGATGAAATACTTAAGACACAGGAAGTAGAGAGGATGATACAAGGAGCACCTGTGTGTCAAGAAGCCGCTTAAGAAATCAAGCACTTCCACGGTGAAGCACCTGTACCCTCCCCTGCTGGTAACCCCATCCCTCCCTCCACAGGTAACCACTGTCCCCAATGTGGCATCCAACCCTCGCCAATGGCCTTTCTGAACATCCCAGGGGTCTCACTGGGGCTGAGTCTAGAAGATGTGAGCGTCAGTCAGCAAGTCTCAGTCAAAGTCCTGGCAGGCCTCTGAGGGCCATGTCACACGGCCGAGACCCTGTCCTATGGACGCACAAGGCTGGGACAGACTAAAGCAACTCTATTCAGCCAGGAAAGCCCAGAACGAGAAGGGAACTTAGAAATAGGGCTCCATTCTGACTGCAGGGGACTGAGCAGGCAAGGAACAGAGCAGAGCAATCTGGACAGCCACCTCGGAATCCTGCCACCCACAGGGAGACAGTGATAATCCCAATGCTGGGACCTGGCTTCCTTATGCAAGTGACCCACTTAGGTCTCTCCTGGCAAATTGCAGAAGCTTCTGGGAAGGACGCCAGGAGACGTGAGGCAATTGTCTGCTCCACTGGAGGGAGCTGAGACTGCCCTCACACAAACAGATCAGTCATCTGTGTTTCTGATGGGTGCACTTGATAAATGAGACATTGCATGATGGGGACAAACCCAAACCTCACAAGTAGGAAACAGAAAACCCAAGAATAGGATCATCAATTCTGTCAGCCAGTCAATGGCCTTGGGTAGAAATACTGAGCTGAAATCTCCTGTTCCCTAATCTTGGAAAAGGGCTATCCTTCCTTTCAAGTCAATCTGGGATGGATTCAGATGTGATGAAGATCTGCTCTAATCATCCCCCCAACTTTTGTTCGATGCCTGCTATGACTCAGGCAATGCGCTACTCTCAAGATACAGAAACAGCCACAGGGTAGGTCAGGAGGAAAGCTTAAATGGTTAAATTAAAACAGCATTTTTAAAAATTTAAACAATTAAAAGGAAGAACAAAGGAACAAAAACCAAAAAGGGACAAAACAAAATAAATATTAAAATGTGGGCCTCAATAGATGGGTATTTAACATTACATTAAATATTAATAAACTAAACACCTCAATTAAAAGCAGAGATTGTCAGAATAAATACAAAAAGACTCAACTATGTGCTCTACATTTCCAATTTCAAAAAGCATGAATGAAAAACTGGAAATAGAACTGCCACATGATCCAGCAATCTCACTGCTGGGCATACACACCAAGGAAACCAGAATTGAGACATGTGTACCTCAACGTTCATCGCAGCACTGTTTACAATAGTCCTGACATGAAAGCAACCTAGATGTCCACCGGCAGACAAATGGATAAGAAAGCTCTGAGAAGAGAACTTAGAAATATGGCTCCATTCTGACTGCAGGGGACTGAGCAGGCAAGGAACAGACCAGAGCAATCTGGACAGCCACCTCGGAATCCTGCCACCCACAGGGAGACAGTGATAATCCCAACACTGGACATATACACAATACATATACACATACATATACACAATACATATACACAGTGGAATACTACTCAGCTATTAAAAAAGAATGCATTTGAATCAGTTCTAATGAGGTGGATGAAACTGGAGCCTATTATACAGAGTGAAGTAAGTCAGAAAGAAAAACACCAATATAGTATACTAACGCATATATATGGAATTTAGAAAGATGGTAATGATGACCCTATATGTGAGATAGCGAAAGAGACACAGATGTATAGAACAGTCTTTTGGACTCTGTGCGAGAAGGCGAGGGTGGGATGATTTGAGAGAATAGCATTGAAACATGTATATTATCATATGTGAAACAGATCGCCAGTCCAGGTTCGATGCATGAGACAGGGTGCTCAGGGCTGGTGCACTGGGATGACCCTGAGGGATGGGATGGGGAAGATGGGAGGGGGGTTCAGGATGGGACACACATGTACACCCATGGCTGATTCATGTCAATGTATGGCAAAAACCACCACAATATTGTAAAGTAATTAGCCTCCAATTAAAATAAATAAATTAATTTAAAAATAAATAAATAAAAACATGAATAAAAATACATTGTGTTAATATAGAATAAAAAGGCTGGAGGCATTATAGTAATATCTGATAGACCCCAGACAAAGGGTGATACCAGAGATCAAGAAAGATATTCCATAATTATTAAGGGGTCAATCAATCAGAAATACATAATAATTAGAAGTAATTATAAATAACTATAAATATATATGTTTCCCTGGTGGCTCAGACAGTAAAGAATCCGCCTGCAATGCGGGAGACCTGGGTTCAATCTGATCTGGTCCAGGATCTGGGAAGATCCCCTGGAGGAGGGCATAGCAACCTATCCAGTATTCTTGCCTAGAGAATCCCCAAGGACAGAGGAGCCTGGTGGACTATAGTCCATGAGGTCACGAAGAACTGGATATGACTGGGAGACTAAAAGTGAAAGTGAGTGAACTCGCTCAGTCATGTCTGACTCTTTGCAACCCCATGGACTATAGCCTACCAGGCTGCTCCATCCATGGGATTCTCCAGGCAAGAATACTGGAATGGGTTGCCATTTCCTTCTCCAGGGGATCTTCCCGACCCAGAGAATCGACTGAGTGACTAAGCATGGCATAAATATATATGCATCTAATAATAAAGCTTCAAAAAACATAAAGGAAATATTTACATAAGTAATTGAAGAATTACACAATATAGTAGACTTGATACCTTTCTAGCTATAGGAGCAATTAGGCAAAGATAAATCAATAAAGATATATATCAGTGGTTCTCAAAGTGTGAACCAGGGATCCCTGAAGGTTTCCTAAAACCCTTATAGGAGGTTCATAAAGCCAGAACTATTTTCATAAAATTGTAAGACTTCATTTGCCTTTTTTTCTTTTTTTCACTTATAAGTATACAGCATAGTTTTCTAGAGGCTATAAGATATGTGATATTACAACAGATTGAAAGCCAGGTCCAGGTATCTCCGACTAAGCCTCACATTAAAGAGATTTGTAAAAATGTAAAAAAACAATGCCACCCTACTCACTAAATTAGGTTTGGAAAATATAGATATTATTGGTTTCTTGGTTTGTTTATTTTTTTACTTCATTATGTTAACATTATATACTATGTTAAATACATTAACATCATTGAATTTATTATTGCTACCTTTAAACGAAACAACTTCAGAACATAAATTCTTTTCAAGACCACAAAATACATTCATCAAGATAGAGCACATGCTGGGGCACAGAACAAGTCTCCATAAATTCAAAAGAGGATATCATATGTGTATGTTCTCTGACAACAATAGAACTCAGCCATGAAATGAAATCAATAATGATATGAGATCTAGAAAAAACTCAAATATTTGGAAATTAAACAATATATGTCTAAATAGTGTATGGGTGAAATAAACAGAAGATAAATTTAAAAATATTTCAAATTGAATGATAATGGTCTACAGCATATCCAAGATGATGAGATGCAGCTAAAGCATTAATGAGAGGGAAATCAATAGCTCTGAATATATACATTAGAAAAGAAGAAGGGTCTAAAATCAATGACCTAAGGTTCTACCTTAAGAAGTCAGAAAAATAAGAACAAGGAAAAGGTGGCTTCCTGTTCTCACTTAGATGGGGGTGATACAGCTCTGGGGTCAATTTGAAGTGGAGGAAGGTGAGTCATGTTTCAAGGCTCCTCAAAGTGTACCGTAAGGACACTTAGTGGGGTTAATTCCTTCTGGGTTAATTTTTTCCCCCATACCGTAATCATGGCAGCCACTAGAAAATCGTAGACCTAAGAGCAGAGTTGTCCACTATCACGTCCCCCTCCCATCTTTACGTCCTATTAGTGAGGCTCAAGAAGGGGCATTCCTGGAATTCCACCCCTCCCCAGCCTGGTTCAACCAGGGGACTCCCAACCTAGGTTTTCCCTCTGATTGAGGAACACTCTGTCCACATTCATTCATTCGTTCACCGAGATACTCACAGAATACTGGTTAATAAAATATAGGGATTTTAATGAATATCGCTAGTTAATATCCAGTTCTGCAACTTACAAGAAGCCCAGGCCAAACTGCATGTTCTCTTTGAACATCAGTTTTATTATTTGCAAAAACAGGAATAAAGAATACTGGAGTGGGGAGCCATTCCCTTCTCCAGGGAATCTTCCTGACTCAGGAACCGAACCTGGGTCTCCTGCATTGCAGGCAGATTCTTTACCATCTGAGCTACCAGGGAGCCGCACTTAATTCTTAGGGCTGTGGTAAAAATTTTATTGAATAACACAGCTGTGTTGAGTAAAGGTTGTATTGAATAAGGGTTTAGCCTGGAGCTTGGCCTACAGCAGGGGCTCCATCGCTGGAGATGATGATCCATCACTTGTCCCAAGCTTTGGGTAAGGCTCTGGGGAGACAGACATGGACCTAGACCCAACCCTGAAGCAGTTCACAAAGTGGTCTCACTCTGGTCCTCCCAACATGCACTGCCCTCCCACATCAGGCTCACCCTGGATCCTCAGGCTCTCCTGATACTGGATGATGAAATACTCTTGAGTTTGCTGCAGCTTCTTCAGCTCATTCTCTGTGTCCTGTGTGACCAGTCGCAGCTCCTCAAATGTCTGGTTGATCTGAAGGTGTTTCTGGGACATGGCATCAACCAGAATCCCAGCAGAAGAATTACCCTGGAGACATATCAGGGGAGGGTGCAGGCAGCAGTGAGCTGGGCAGTGAGGATGGGAGAAAAACCTCAGGCCTTGGGGACCACCAATACTACAGACCCCAGATACCAAATCTAGAATAAGAATGAAGGGTACTTTGAGTCAGAAGAGTCATTTGCCAAAATAGGGGTGGATAGGGTAAAGGAGGAGAAATGGGTGACCAGGCAGACTCTGGTAGAAACATCTATTGCAATTCTGACCTCCATCTGAGTACCACACACAAGGCCCATTTGAGTTCTCTCTGGAGAGACTAGAACCCAACCCATCCCAGGAGTTAGCTGACTTTTCCTACTAAGAATGATGACCCCTCATTTCAGAGTCATTCACTGATCCCATGCCATGATGCTGGATGCTGGGGACATGATGGGGAACAAGGCTGTGTGAACACACATCATCTGTGTCCTCACTAAGACCTCGGGACTGAGGGAAGAGGATGAACCGTTCACAGGTGGAGTCCTGAAGATCCCCAGATGAAGGGACAAGGAGGCATCAACAAGGGCTTCCAGCCATTCAGCTAACCTGGTTGGATCTATTCCTTCAATCAAGTGTTGGTCTTTTTTTAAATTTTACTTATTTATTTATTTTTGGCTGTGCTGGGTCTTTGTTACTGCTCATGGGCTACTCTCTAGTTGTGGTGCGAGGGCTTCTCATTGCAGTCGCTTCTCTTGTTGCAGAGCACAGGCTCAGAGCTCAGTGGTTGTGTCCCATGGGCTTAGGTGCGCCATGGCATGTGGAATCTTCCTGGACCAGGAATCGAACCCATGTCCCTGCCATGGGCAGGCAGATTCTTAAGCACTGGACTCCCAGGGCAGTCCTCAACCAAATCTTTAGGGCCTCTCCAGTAAACTGCTCTCAGAATAAAACTCAAACTCCCTTCACAGCCTCCATGGCCTTAGCCAGGAGCCTCTGCCTACCCCACCCCCAGCTCCGTTGTTGCCCAACCACACTGGCCACTTTCTGTTCCTTGGATACACATGGAGTTCCTGCCTCAGGGCCTTTGCATGTTTTGTTCCATTACCCTGGAACATTCTGGCACTAAATCTTCCTGAGACTGGCACTTCCACTGGCACCTTCTCAGAGTGACCTCTGCTGAAGAGTTATATTAAAATAGGACCGCCCTACTGAACATGTCATGTGCCTGCTTGTTCTTTCTTGTCTGCCTCTCTGCACTAGGATGTGAACTCCCTAAGGACCAAGACATTGTCCCATTTGGGACACAACAAAATCCTCAAGGCCCAGGACATCAGAGGTGTCCAAGAACAGCTTGATGACTGGAGGACTATTTTCCCCCCAACTGTAAAAGCACCTGCCTTGTAGGCAGGTATTTCTGAATTGGAACCGGACTCATTCCTGTGTTTACAGACAGCTCTGTAATTGCACCAAGTCAAGAATTGTACCAGTTGACCCTTTGTGACCTGGCTTCTGCCCAGTTGGCTCCCTTCTCCCCAGTAGCACTAAACACTTAAAATTCTTTAAATGTCATAAGATGGCTTGTGCCTTCCTGCCCTCATATATACTGTTGCTATTTATTTATTTTGCATTTTCTTTACTTCTATTTTTGGCTGCACCTTGTGGTATGTGGTATCTTACTTCCCTGACCAGGGATCAAATGCATGCCTCCTGCAGTGGAAGGGGGAGCCTTAATCACTGGACCACCAGGGAAATCCTACTGCTGCTATTTTTTACTAGAAAACTCATTCCACCTTCTTCCTCCCTCTTTCCTCATTATAGTCAGGCATCTTTCTCCTCAGGACACCCTCCCCACTACTGGCCAGCCTGCCCCAATCTGAGTTGGGTCCTTTTTCCATATTGGCTGACTTAGCACTCATCAGAGTCCTAAAGAATCTATCACAGCCTGAATTCCTTTTAGGTGGAGGCCAGGACTTTATCTGTTTCTCCCATCCTAGTCCAGTGTCAGATGCACAGCAGGACCTCAATAAATGTTTACTGAATGACCTCTCAAATTCTTGATATCAGTGTCCACCACAAGTAAATAATAACTATGACTTCACTTCAGGCACTATTCTGTGGTCTTTACCTAAAGGATATCATTTAATGAAATTAATTTTGCTTTACTGCAGATAATGTACCATTTGCACCAGTGTCCAAGCATATGTCCAAGACCTTTATGATTTCGGAACCTGGGGAATAGGTCCCTGCTCTGCCTTCCTGGGCCTCGCTTCTCTGAGCTTTCCCAGGTTAATTCTTCTGACACAGACCTCCATTTCTCCTCATAGACCCCACCAGAGGATATTTCTTCTTTTGCCCCTGGCCTCACTTATTCAATGACAAATCTTTTCCCCAGTGATTTGTAATGCCATCTCCAACATAGATTGAGTTTCCAGATGTGTATCTGTTTTTAGGGCTTCCTCTTCTTCATTTATATATGTCTGTTCTTTGCTCTGGGCTTCCCAGGTGGTGCAGTGGTAAAGAATCCACCTGCCAAGGCAGGGGACACAAGAGATGTGAGTCTGATTTCTGGGTCGGGAAGATCCCCTGGAGTAGAAAATGGCAACCCACTCCAGTATTCTTGCCTGGAAAAGTCCATAGACAGGAGCTTGGCAGGCTACAGTCCATGGGGCTACAGAGAGTCAGACACGACTGAGTGATTAAACACACATCCTTTGCCCACATGGTATCTCATTTAATCCTCGAAATAGCCCTATAGGGTAGATGCTATGACTACCCTCATTTATAATAGGAAAAAACCGGAGGCTCAGAGAGGTTAAGTAACTTGCTCAAGTAACACAGCTAGTAAATAGTAGAGCCAGGGAGTGGGGGCTCTGTGTGTGTTGGGGGGAGAGGGGTCAATCTACACCTGCATGTAATACGGCCTCTCACACTTGCCCGTGTATTTTATTTCTTTGGTGCTCTCTCTTGCCAGTGTTTATAAAACAGAGCTGTGTCTGGAGAGGAAAGCAGGTGAAAGGACTTCTCAAAACCTTTCCCCAAACCCAAGGGACACTCACATTGTTGGCTTCTCGGACCAGCCTCTGTTCATTGTACAGAATATGGCGGATGCAGCGCACCAGCTCCATGGGGCAGCGGTCGTATGTGTTCTGAAAGAATCCAACAGTGGCTGCCAAAGGCCACCCTCTGCTCCCACCATGCCCACTGCAGTGCCACCCATTCCTTCCTCTCCACTAGCCTATGCCTCAGCTTCCACTCCGAAGCCTGGAACTGCCACCAGAACCTCTATCTCTCCTTGACTTGATTTCCCCTCCCAGATCTTCATATTCAGTTCGCAGTGCCTTAGAAACCCACAGGTTACAGAGTACTTCCAATCTGCCATCTCCTTTGACTTGTGCATCATAGAAACCCTATGACATAAGCAGAAACCATTATCCTCATTTCACAGATTAGAATACTGATGCTCAGAGAGATTGAGTACTTGTCCAAAGGCAAACAAGTGAGTGAGCATATGACTCAAGACTCGGGGCATCTAATGCCAAGGTCAAGGTACTTTCCACTATAGTCCTGGCCCTGGGTTCCTATTTTACTTCCTTTCCCACCCCCCCCCCCACCCCAGGTTTCTCCTGTTTCCTGCCTTCTTTGGGATGGACTTTTTATTTCCTTGGCACCCTGCTGCTTGTATTCAAGAAGGCTCTCTAAAAATTCAAGTGAGTTCCAATAAATGCTCATCTATGATTACCATCCACATCCCTTTCCTATTTCCACAAAAGTTTCCTCTCTCCCCTATACTCCTTCCTCCCACACCCTCATCTTACATTAAACCCTTAGTTCAAGGCTCCAGGACAACTCTGCTCCCCTCGCACGCCACTTAGGGCCTTTAAAAGAGCCCTAACAGGGATCTCTGGTTGCCCCATCCCCTCCTTTCTAGAATCTGTCGGTGTTCCTTTCTCTCACGACAGAATTTTGACTCAGGCTACTCCCATGCCTTCTGCCTGATCTGCCCAGAAAGTGCTTTCACCCAACCCCCTTCTCTTGGGGACAAACATGCCCCATCTCTTACTTTGTCACAGGCTAAGGGGATCTGACAGGTCTGATGTAGAAAGAGGGGGTGGGGGAAATTGAAGCACAGATGGGCTCAGGGTCACACAGTGAGTCAGTGGCCAAACCAGGAAAAAACCCAGGGGTTCTGGTGCTGGAAAGAGAAGGCGGACACTGTTTCCCTGCAGATGGCTTGCAGCTCACGCCCACCTGGAGCTGCGTGGCGTAGTGCCCCAGCTTGATCTTCAGTAGGAACCCGTCTTCCCCAACTTGGTGGTCCGCCTTCTTCTGCAACTCCTGCACCAGGCCCTCCAGGAGCTGGGTGGCCTGGGCCCGGTCCTGGGGATTGTCCAGGTCGATGGCGTCCCTTCGGGCAAGGCAGGAGAGAGAAACCTGCTATGGCGCCTCCTTGGATGAGGAGGTCGGCTACCAGGAAGGACGGGAAAATCCCAGGCTCCTGACCACAAGACTTGCTCCCCACAGTTCCACGGGCATCAGAGTCTAGAAACATCCCCTCTCCCCTCCCAGACTCCCATTTCCCTGTTCCCCTTTCCCTGGGACACCACCCCTTCCGCACAGGGAGGGACAGCCAGGATCAGAATCTCCCCAAACCACCAAGAGAAGACGTAAAGGCCAATGGGGCCCGGATGGTTAGGGACCCGCAGAGCAAGGCGCCGGGCAGGGGCACCTACCACGGCTGGCTCTCAATCCACTGCGCCAAGTAATGTCGGACCTCGATGGGGAAGTGCTGCCCGTATAGCACCTGCATCTGGCGCAGGGCATCTCCCTGCAGCTGCTGAGCCTGGATCCAGCCCGCCATGTCCGTTCACCTAGGGCGAGCAGAGCGCTGAGAAGGTGCCTTCTCGGCACAGGCGTGGACTGGGCCTGCCCCTAGCCCTGCCATGCCCACCCACCCCTGGACCGCGGTCAGACCAGGCCCCTCCCCTCCCACAGACACGCTTTCCTGTGCGGGAAGAAAGACGGTGAGGAGGGGAAGGCCGTCCTTCCCTCCAGCGAGGAACCCGCTGAGGCTTGGGGAGGGGCTCCCGAAAGTCAGGTGCCCTCCCCCTCTTCCTCTCCCCTCGCCCCACCGGGGCTTCCCGGGGTGGGGGTGGGGGGAACAGCTAGAAACTGAAAGAGAAACTTTATGGCGGAGGCCCTCGGGCCCTCTGGGGAGGACTGCAAACACCCCCTACCCTGCTTCGAACTCCGAGTCTCAGTTTCTGGGAACGCGGGGATATTCCAGTCCAAAGCTAGGACAATGCCACCGAAGGTTTCCCCTGGATGGCTCGGCCACCGCTGGCACGTGGCTGGGGTGTTCAGGAGGGCGGGCTGGGGAGACAAGACACTCCCTCTCTCGGGCTGCGCCCCCCGCACCTCGCTGTGCCCCGACGTCTCCCACTGTCCAGTCCGACAGCGCCCCCTGCCCACCGCGGGCGAGGACGGCGCCCACCCTCGGCCTCCTCCCTCCATTCGCGCGTCCCGCGTCCCTCGTCCACGCGGCGCCGAAACTCCCTCTGGGTCCCGGAGACCGTCCCCGGCTCCCCTCCGGCTGTCGGGCTCCGGGGCCTGCAGGGCGAGGACCCGGGCGGCAGCAGCAGCAGCAGCAGCAGCGGGGTGCCCCATCTGGGCGTGCGTCGCCGGGGACGCGCGGCCGGGGCCACCCACCTGGTCGCGCCGGGCGGTCCGGCGACGGGGCCGGCGCTCGCTCCCGGCCGGGGCTCCTGGCGGCGGCGGCGGCGGCGGCTGTTACTACAGGAAGGAGCCGAGAGCAGCGATTTCCTCCTCAAAGGTCAGCTGCCTCTGACAGACCATACACAGCGCGCGAGCTCTCGCCAACACCCCTCCCAGCCTCGGTCGCTCTCTCCCCGCCTCCGCCCTCGGTGGCTGGCTCCCCGGCGAGTGCACGGCGGCGAGGCGGGGCGGCGCCGAGCGCCGGGGGCTGCCCCGACGGCGGGGTCCCCCGGGAGTCCCAGCGGGCCGTCGCCGGCGACCCCGTGGAGCTGCCGCAGACCGTGCTGGACAAGAGGGGCGGGAGTGGCTGCAGGATGGGAGTGGGAGGGCTGGGAAATCCCGGGCGCTGGAAATCCCAGCGCGGGGCCTCAGTTTTCTCATCTGTCAAAAGGGAGGAGGAAAGGGTTGGAGCAGCTGGAGATGCGGGCGTTTGTCATTTTCTGAGCTTCTAGATTTAAGAAGTCTGATGTGTGTGTGTGTGCGCGCGCGTGTGGGTTGGGGACACAGCTTTTGTGATCTCAGAGGCAAAGCCGTATTGAGGGGAAGGGCTGGGGATTCCAGAGATTGCCAGCTCACCTAGAGGCCCCCCTGCCCTGCCCCTCCTTTCACGACTTTTCTCTGCACTCCTCTGTGCAGCAGAAACAGGAAAGAACCCTGGCAGTCAAATGTTTTAAGCCCTGGAAATTTTGCAGATGAGAAATGGAGTCCAGAGCGGTGAGGGGGCCTTGCCTAGGGTCCCACAGTGGGCACAGGGCCAAGTCCGCAAACCATGGTCTATACAGGATCCTACCTCTCCGTTCACCCCCAACCCGGTCACATCCGAGGCTGGTCATATCTTCAGAAAGTCCAGGGAGAGGTGAGGCGAGTGTTCACAAGCTCACCACTGCCTACAGGCCTTGCCGGAACAGGCAGCACCGTCTCCAAGCCTTGCCTGGGTCACAGCCCCCTCCCCAAGAGCCCCCTGGGGGAGTTGGGCAAGGCTGTCCTGGAAGTCTTCCATTCCCTTTCCCCAGCTTCCCTCCCCTCTGGGGCCTCCCCTCAGCCTGGCAGCTAGTATTGGCAGCACCGAGGGAGGGGCCCTTCTGGCTGCCCACTCACAGCTGGCTGGGCCAAGACCTGCTATCCTGGGGGCAATCATTCTTCTCTCCCTCCTTCCCTAATTCCTTCTTGGATTTGCCCTTTTCTCTCCATTCCCTCCCACACCCCCCCACCACCCCATCTTCTTACCACTCACTACTTCCCCACTTTCATTCTTTTATTTCAGAGAAAAAAACAAAGTTTAAAGCTGCCGAAGCTGGATCGCCTCCCCCCAACCCACTTCCACGTGTGGTCACAGTCTCTGTTGGCAGGATCACGAGGAAAGGAATCGAAAACTGTGAAGGGATTCAAGGGAGGGGGCAAACCTTGCTTTAGGGAGGAGGAAACACAATGCCTCTCTCTCTCTCTCTCCTTCCCCTACTCTGTGCAAAGGGTTTGGCAGGGGAGTGTCCGACACACAGCTAAGGGGTCACCTGGAGTGATAGCTAAGTGTCAGAGCTGGAAACAACCATAATGATGATTTTACAAATGGGGAAACAGAGGCCGGAGAGGGGAAGTGACTCGGTCAATGTCACGAGGGCTGTTGGTGGCAGATTCAAAACCATCACCCCACAGTGGGTGGGTCCGAGGTGGCATCTGTGCCCACTAGCCTTTTACTCTGAGCAGGTCAGTCAGTGGGAGCAGATTCCTTGGGCTTCCAAGTCTTCTGAGCCACATCTAGAAGGCAGAGGACCACCCTTGCCAGACACCAGCATCTGGGCATCTGGAGAGGGTGGGATGGCAGAGTGGCTTCAGAGTGGGGGTCCTGCCAGGCCACTTCCAGGCAGCTGCCTCTCCAGCTTCCTCCCCAAGCCTGTGGGAGCCTGCTATTCCAGCTGGCAGCCCCACCCACCAAACATCTGGCTGGGTTGGACTGGGCTTGACTAGGGGATGGGCCCTCCTGGGTCCTAAGAAGCTAGCATTGGGGTGCCCATGAACAAAATGGAAGGAACTGGCCTCAAAGGGTGTGCCCCAGTGCCTTCAGAGCCCCCATGTGTCTCCCTCCTCCCCTTGTGTCCAATGGCAACAGCTGTTTCCCCCCACCTCTGGATTTCTCATTTGGCCTCTCTCTGTGAGGCCCTGCATCTGGGTGTCCTCTGTTGCATGTTTTCATCCTCTTGCTTTGGGATTCTCCTCCTCTTGATTCATTCTCTCTAGGACTCAGTCTGCTTTGCTCTCTCTTTCTCTGTGCCTCTGTTCTCCTTCTGAGATTTAGTGGGAGGGGAGGAGCTTTGGCGCTTTCCCAGGATGGGCAAAGGCCAACCGAAGAAGAGTGGAAGACTATAAGGGTGTCAGAGTTGGGTTGGGGGCAGAGGTGACTGTGGTCGCTCTGGATAATGCAACTACCCGGAAATGTCAAATTTGGGGTTTCTTTCTGCTTTCAGTCCGCTGGTTTGGTCTCTGCTATTTCCCACCACAAAGCAAAGCAGGCTGGTGGTTTTAGGGGCCCAGACAACAGAGGAGAAAACTGAGGCGTAGGGGGTGGGGTTCGGAAAGATCAAAGCCTGCCTAGTGTTTGGATGAGCTGGGGTCCCAGGCTGCTGCCCCTAACTGCCCCTTATCGCCAACTCTAGGTCACAGCATTACATGGGGAATGATTTAAACGAAGGATTTAAACAAAAATTCTCACAGGAACACATCCCCCAAAAGAAGACTGGCCATAGTTTGATAGGAATCAGAATAACCCCTAGCTGAGCCAGTAGTTCACACGCTCTGCATGTATCCTGAACTGAACCATGGCACACTCGTGTGCAAACCTGGTTGAACTCTTCAACTCAATTGATCTTTGTGACAACCTTGAAGGTAGGCAGAGCCAGAACCCTCCCCTTTGATTAGTCCAGGAAAGAGTCCCGTCCATGGCAGTCTGGCCAGTGAATGCATAGCTGGCACTGGGATCCAAGTTGCTCGGCTCTGTGGGCAGTGTCCCTATACAACCTTTTAAAACTTTCCCTCCCCTGAGCACACGCCGTAGTCTTCACTCTAGCCCATGGTTGGTTTGTTTTGTTTTGGCCATGCAGTATGAGGGATCTTAGTTCCCCGACCCATGATCAGACTTGTGCCCCCTGCCTTGGAAGCGCAGAGTCCTAACCACTGAACCCCCAGGGAAGTCCCACCAGCCCATGGTTGTTTTGACACCAAGCGTGGCATGTCCATCCCTGCGCTGGTCCCTGCCCTGTGTGGGTGTCCTGAGCAGCCCTGGGTCAGGTCTGGCTCCCCATCCTTAGGCGGATGTGGGTTCGAGTTACACCGGAAGGCAACAATGATCCCAAGTCCTCTTTCTGGCCCTTGGAGACCAGGTTAGCCGTGATGAGGGCCCTGCTGATGCCCCTACCTTAAGGTCGCCTTGACCTAACCGTCCCTGGGGACAGGGGGAGGTGGTACAGAGATGCCTTTGTCTCTTCTGCTCCAGGTCTCTTCTTCAAGAAGAGTTCCTGTTGTGCAGAAGCCAGAGGGGAGGTGGGGGTGAAGAGCCTTCCCAGGAAAGCTGGAGGCCTTCCAGGAAGTATCTCCGTGCCCCAGCACAGCAGGCACAGCAGAAGCCGAAGTCCATGGGCTCTTAAGCATCCCGTTTCACCCCCACCATGCCTCTGCGGGGGGCTGTCCACCTCCACTCCAGCCCCTACCTTTAAAGCTCCGGGAAGAAGGGGAGCCACAGGTCCATGCTCAGCATACACTGCACCCCTGAGACCAGTGTCTCTTCCTCTCCCAGAATTTCTGCACTCTGGTACCCCGCTGTGAAAATGCTGCCCATGCCTGTCCCTGAAGACAGAGTGGTACCTAAGGAGGGGGCACATGCCCGGTGAGAAATTCGGTGTCAGTTTGGGGGAAGGAAAGGAACTGCTGGGTCCGCGCTTCCCGCCCCTGCCCCCTGTCCTCTACCACTCTTCAGGGAAGTCAACTTACAGTGAAGTCACCAAGGGAACACGAGGCCTTCCAGCCTCAGGCATAGCGACTGTCCTCTGTTTCTGGGAATGGGGTGAGGGGAGGGTGACCCGGTGGGTGGGAGGGGGGAAGTCAGCCTTCCTTTGCCCAGCTGCCCCGTCCACCTGATCCGGGAGAGAGGCTGACAGGGCAGGGAGAGCAGGGCAGCGCAAGGTCTGGCCTGAGCACACGTGTCCTAGGGCAGAGAGGAGCCCACCCTCCTCGAAGCAGGGATAGGCCTGGGAGGCCAGCGGGTGAGAGGAGAGGTGGGCCACGGGCACTGAGATGGGCAGCCGATGGGCCTGGTGACTGTCCTGAGCAGCTCCGGGTCAGGTCTGGCTCCCCATTCTTAAGCCCACTGATTGCCAGTCCCCTCTTCCTGCTGAGCTAGTTTCTCCTCCTTCTAGCGCAACAAGAAATCTTTTGTGTCTCAGCGAGCCCAGAATGGACCTCAAGCCCTCAGCGCAGTACATGAGAGAGGGCTGTGCATCTCCTTCTCCGCCACCTCCCCACCACTTTGCCTGTCCTTTTTGTTATAACCCGAGGAGGTTCCTTGTTCTCCAGCTCTGTTTTCCATTGTTCTTGGCTTATGGCTGGCACCAACCCATCAGTGCCTTCCCTGCCTGCTCCCAGCCTCCAAAACTGGCTCCCCAGCACGAGGAGCCAGGGTGGGTATAAAGTCAAAATGAAGGGTGGTCCAGTGCTCTGCCTCTCCTCACTGGCCTGGTCTTCATCTGCTGCTAGGATGGACCCCAAGCACCAGCATCTCCTTCGCTCCAGGCTTCAGCCGTGCAGTTCCCCCAGGGCACTGGCCTCTCAACTCCAATGCATCTACCTGGAATGTCATTCCTACCTTTCCCGCCTGGGGACGTCCTCTTCATCTTGCATACAGTCTGTGTGGCAGAGGGGAAAACACAAAAGACTTTGGACCTTCGATACTGGACAGGAAGGCAGAGACTGTAGAATGGAAGTTTCATTGTCAGTGATTCGGGGTGGGGAGGGGGGTGTCTGTCAGTGCCAGGGCTTGATTCTGCCAGAACGTGGGCAGCAAAAAAAAAAAAAAAGAGCTGAGTTAGATCTGCTTCCAAATCCCAACTTTGCCAACTTAGCAACCGGGTGACCTGAAACCACTTTCCTCTTTGTAAAGCACACCTGGTTCTGCTGTGTGACTCCCAGGCACATGAGTCTGCCTCTCTGAGCTGAGTGGCCACTTTTGTAAAAGGAGGACAGCAAGGCTTACCTGCCAGGATTGCTGTGAAGACTCACAGAGCCGAGCACATAGTAGGTGCTCAGGGACTTTAGCCAGTAGAGCCAGGTATTTTCTCCTCAGCACCCTTGAGCCCCTCAATCCTGTATTGCAAACCTCTGCTTTCTTTCTTAATATTTATGTATTTGGCTATGTGAGGTCTTAGTTGCAGCATGCAGGATCTTAAGCTGAGGCATGCAGACTCTTAGTTGTGGCATGTGGCATCTAGTTCCCTGACCTGGGATTGAACCCGGGCCCCTTGCATTGGGAGCACAGAGTCTTAGCCACTGGACCACCAGGGAAGTCTCCGGAAGCCTCTTCTTAAGGTCCGAACTAGTTGCCTAAAGGGCTGTATCTCACTACTTGACTTGTAATCTGTGAAAGAGTGTGAGTTGCTCAGTCGTGTCCAACTCTTTGCGGCCCCGTGGACTATAGCCCACCAGGCTCCTCTGTCCATGGGATTCTCCAGGCAAGAATATTGGAGTGGGTAGCCATTCCCTCTCCAGGGGATCTTCCCAACCCAGGGATTGAATCCCAGTCTCTTGCATTGCAGGCAGATTCTATACTGTCTGAGCCACCAGAGAAGCC